ATCACACAATCTAGTTTACTGAATTCGCTGCTCACAACATGGTCTCCTCTACATTGGGGAAACAAAGCATAGTTTGGGTGATCGCTTGTCAGAACATCGATGTTCTGTTCGCAAAAAAGACCCTGAACTTCCAGTTGTCTGCCACTTTAACACACCACCCTGTTCTATGGCCAACATCTCTGTCTCAGATTTGCTGCAATGTTCCAGTTAAGCTCAGCGCAAGCTAGAAGAACAACACCTCATTTTCCACTTGGGGACCCTGCACCCCTCTGGGCTCAATATTGAGTTCAATAATTTTAGGGCCTGAACTCTCCCATGTCCTAGCCCCCTACCCCACACACCAGGCCCTGTTATCACAAAACCTGCCATTACACACTACCTATTGTTAGCTACTAACAGTCTCCATTAACAGTTATTCATCCTCCTAGCCAGATCCTAGCCACACAACTCCTTTGTCTGTCCAACTGTTCTTCTCTCAGTTTGGGCTCTATCCCCACCTATCATTGACACCTTACCCCTCCACCACCCTACCTTCTGCATATAAACCAACATTTTCCTAGCTGCCATCAGTTCTGAGGAAGGGTCACTGGACACAAAATGTTTACTCTGATTTTCTTCACAGATGCTGCCAGACCTGCTGAGCTTTTCTAGAAACTTCTGTTTTCTTTCCGTTTCTATCATTAATTGATACATTCTTCATGGCAATGCCCTCTACTAATGCCCTCTACTAATGTACATTATGATTGTTAGTTTTCCTCTTGAATTGGAAGTCCTTCAAATTGCCCTGATGAGTGCAAGACAGAAAGCTATGACAAAATGCATCTTTTTCAGCAATGCATTACCATTGTTGAATACCATTTTATCAACTTGCTGAGAGTTACATTTGACCAGAAACCTAACAGGACTGATATGTAACAACCGTGGATGCTAGGCCAGGTCTGACCAAGAATTGGAATTAAATAACGAGAAAGGTACCTCCTACTTCTCCAACACCTGTCCACCATCTGTAACATTCAAATCAGGAATGTGATATCATATTCTCAACTCACCCAGGCTACTGCAGCTGGAACAGCACTCAAGAAGATGAACAGCACAAATCATCCACACACACTATCCTGACTAAATTATATATTGGACCTTTACGATCACTGCTTCCCAAGCCTGTGACACTGTACAAAATTGTACCTGTTTATGCCAGTAATTCAAGAAGGAGACTCACCACCAATCTCTGAAAAGCAATTTCATCCTTTCATATCTCTTTCTCTCTCATTCTCTCCATCTCACTTATCTGGTCCCCTCTCCCACCTCCCCCCTCACCCCCATCAACTGCAACATAAATACCATGTTTCCTAGCTGCTATCAGTTATGATGAAGAGGCACCAGACTTGAAACTTTAACTCTGCCTTTTCCCCACAGATGCTGCCAGTCCTGCTGGGTTTCGCCAGTAATTTCTGTGTTTGTTAGTAATGTATTGCTTTAGCATGCAATGATTTTTTCCTCATCGGTTTGGTTTGAAGCAGAGGGGGGAGGTTTTAACCCAAGAAAACAGATGGGTTTGGTCTGATGGAGATGAAAGTGAAAAATCCGATTTCCAACTCAGACCCGCTTCCAAATCACCCACTTACGGCACTAACTGAGGACAAAATATGGGCAGCTGTCAACTTGGCTGATGAGGCAGATTAAAATTGGAGTTCAGAGCCTCATTGCCATTCCGCTTTTTAACTTTAGCTCTAGTCAGCCCAATTTCTTTAGCATTAATAAACCAGGTGCTACATCCCTGAAATACATGACAGATCAGGAACTATCCTGGATACAGCATGTCTACCTGAGGAAACCCCACCTCTGATCTCACCACTGACCCCACAGCCATCTGATCTAGGCAGGTCCCTGAACCCCTCTTCTCCCCAGCTCACCCTTGCCATGCCTTCAGTCATCATTCCCAGGCCCTCAATTCTCTGTCTCTTTGCAGTTATCAGATCTCTGTTTCTCATTATCAGGTCCCAATTTCTCCTTCGAGGTCAATTACTTTCACCCTCTAACTCTGATTTCTCTTGACTCTTCCTTCAGCAGCATGGATATTTCCTCACTCTGTGATCAGAATTCTATCTGTTTGGCCCCTGACTGACTCCACCAGCCAATAGCCCACAATTGAAATCCTCTCCCTATCTATTCCATATACACATGCACCTACCCATTCTGCAGCTTTCAAGTCAAACTTGTTAGTGCCAGATGGAGAGTAGATTGGTGATTTCAGTGTCTACACTATTGGTTTTTTTTTTACCTGGTATCTAGATAATTATAGTCATATTTGTATACTTTGTATGCTTGTTATGTTGGACTGAGTTTTCCATTAATTCCTGTAGTCTTCTGTAAATTTGTTGAAGTTTCTAAAATTTCAGTAGTTTCTTTGATTCCATCAAGTTTATGTTATAAAAAATCAGAAGCTTGATAAATGCAAATACTAAATAATCTAGAGTGAAAGTCACTCAAGTGCTTCCCGATGAGCATTTGTGACCTTTGCAGTTTGACAATCCAACTTATGAAGCAATAAAGAACATAAGAACTAGGAGCAGGAGTAGGAAATTCAGTCACTTGAGCCTGCTCCACCATTTAATATGATCATGGGTGATCCCATCTCAGCCTCAACTTCATTTTACTGCCACTCTGCATAACTCTTTAACCCATTACTAATTAAAAATCTGTCACCATATACCTTTGAGAGATGTAATTCTTCTTCATTTCTGTTTTAGCTCTGCCACCCCTTAGCCTAAAACCTCTAGCTTGAGATTGCCCCACAAAGGGAAACATTTGCTGTATGTCTACTTTGTCAATCCCCTTTAGCATTTTGTATATGTCAATTAGATCTCCTCTCATTCTTCTAAACTTGAGCGAGTATAGGCCTAACCCTTTCTTATAAGACAAGCCTTTCATTTCTGGAATTAATCCAGTGAACTTTCTCTGAACCAACTTCAAATACATCCTTTCTCAAGCAAGGTCACCAAAACTCAATAATAGTTGCAACAACAGTTGCCTACTTTAGCAATAAATGCCAAAACTCCATTTGCCCTCCTTATTATTTGCTGTACCTGCATACCATCTTTTTGTTACTCAAACATGAATACACACACATCCTTCCCAACAAAAGCATTTTGAACCTTAGCTCCAATTGGATAATAAGACGCCTTTTTACTTTTCCATCCAAAATGGATAATCTCACATTTATCCATGTTAAACTCCATCTGCCAAATTTTGGCTCATTTACCCAATCTATCCATATCCATTTGTAAATTTCATATTTCTTCATTGGTGGCATGGTGGCTCAATGGTTAGCATGACTGTCTCACAGCACCAGTGACCCGGGTTCAATTTTGGCCTTGGTGACAGTCTGTGTGGAATTTGCAAGTTTTCCCCGTGTCTGTGTGGATTTCCTCGAGGTGCTCCAGTTTCCTCCCACAGTCCAAAGATGAGCAGGTTAGGTGGACTTGCTATGTTAAATTGCCCTGTAGTGTTTAGGGATATGCAGGCTGGGTGGAGTAGCCATGGTAAATGTGAGGTTACAGGGATAGGTTAGGGGGCTGGGACCAGATGGGATGCTCTTTGGAGGGCCGACTAGCCTCTTTCACACTGTAGGGATTCTATGATAACCACATATTTTAGTGTTATCTACAGATTTGGCTATAATATTTTCTATCCCTGCATCTAAGTCACTAATATAGATTGTAAATTGTTGGAGCCCAAGGATCGAACCCTAAAACAACCCACGAGTTACAGCTAGCCAACCTGAAAAACACCCATTTACCTGACTGCCTGCTTTCTGATGCTTAGCTAATCTTCTATCCAAGCTAATATATTACTCCTAAATCCATGTGATCTTACTTTGTATATTAAACTACAGTGTGGCACCTTATCAAATGCCTCTGGAGCTCCAGATACACTATATTTACATGACATCCTTATCCACTTTGCTTGTTACATCTTCGAAGAACTCTAGCAAATTTGGCAAACATGATTTATCTTTCATCAAACCAGGCTGACTCATATGAATTGCATTTTGAGTTTCCAAATGTCCAGTTGCTGTTTTCTTAATAATTGATTTCATCAATTTCCCAGTGACAGATGTTTAACTAACTGGTCTATAGTTCACCACTTTCTGCCTCTCTCCTTTTTAGAATGTTTTTGAAGGGTGTTGCATTAACAAATTTTTAATGCACTGTATCCTGTCCAGAATCCAGGGAATTTTGGAATGTAATCAATATATTCAGTATCTCTGCTTTCACTTCCTTCAAGACTCTAGGATGTACACCATCAGGCCCTGGGGACCGATATGCCTTTAATCCCAGTACTTTTCTCAGTCCAAAGATGTGCAGCTTAGGTGGATTGGCCATTCAAAATCATCTGCAGTGTACAGGGATATGCAGACTAGATGGATTAGGTAAATGTAGGGTTATGGGGATCGGATAAGGGATTGTGTTGGGTGGAATGCTATGTAGAGGGTTGGTGCAGACTTGATGGGCTGAATAGCCTCTTTTTGCACTGTAAGAATTCTATGATTCTATTCTAGGATTCTACTTTTCCCCTTGTAATGATGACTATTTTCAATGCATCCTTTTTTAAAGCTTTTGGAGTACATGTTACTACTGGGATGGTTTCAGTGTCCTCCACGTGAAAACTGAGGCAAAATATTGATTTAGCGTCTCTGTCATTTCTACGTTTTGTATTATTGATGCCCCAGTCTCATCCTCTAAGAGACCAGATTCACTTTAGCTACTGTCTTCATTTTTACATACTTACAGAAACATTTGCTATCCACTTTTATATTTTGCGCTAGTTTGTAAAGTGTTGAAAATATATTTAGTTGCTGTTTTTATTGAAGTACTATGTTTAGTACTTATTCCCAATTTTCAAATTTGCCTCAAAGTGTACAAAGACTGTAAGAGTTCTATGCATCAGAAAATTCAATTCCTTTCGAGCCACAGTTCTTTAGGAACATGAACTCAGGTTTAAACACCCTCTGGTCTCTGAGGCAGCCATACACCATAATCTTCCAAATCTTTCCAGAATTCTTCTCCTTTCCACCCAATAGCCTGAAACACAAAAGATAAAATGGTTGCTTTAAATATATGATGAATTTCTGTACTGGATTAATCCTTTTATAATAGAGTGAACAGCTTCTAATGAAATGTAGAGTGAGGATAATTATGCAAGGGTGTGGGAAAGTGTTGTATAAGGTAATGGTTCTGCAGGCATTCATTTTCATGTTACCTTGGTCAACCCATTTCAATGATGTCACTCATAGTCTGTGGGTAGAGACAAAGATTCTACTGGAGCTTTTGGAGTGAATAGATATATCTGTGGTAGTTTCCGAAGGTCCTAGTAATTATATGTGATCAAAATTTAGTTATATTTACTGTCATGCAATAAACCTTCTTGAATTCTAGGAACAGTGTCTCTTCTGTAGATATCCTATAGTACTGTATTCTCTACCACAAATAGGACCAAAGCAAAGGAGGATTGGTGGTAATGAACTACATCAAACAACACTTTTCGAAGGCCACTAAGTCTGGTAGAGGTGGCAGGTGCCAGAAATGGTGACCTGGGAAAATATCACAGTTGACGAGGTGGAGGTAAATAAGTCGCAGGAGAAGAGGAGGCTACTCCTTGATTGACTGAAAAAGACTGCTGGATAATTAGTTTTTGTCCACTTCTGTTTAAAAAAAATCTCCAGGCAGGAAGTCCTTAAGATATTGCAACTAAAGAAATGTAAATAAAGTGTTAAGTAATGATCTAATTAAGAGCTACAAGGGCTGGTTCTGCCCTTTTCTTAAATATCCCTTACTTAGCAACTCTGCTGGATAATGCAAATGTTAGTTGGGAAGCAGATCCTGAGAATATTGGGAAAGACTTCCCTGACCAATATGCAGGATGACAGTAATGCTGTTACCATAGGGAATTTTTAGGAAAATGGGTCTGTATGATAAGATCATGGAGAATACTAAGACTCAACACTGAATATGTTCTCAGAAGTTCGGGAAGTTGGCTCACCACAGTGTTCTCAGGGCAATTAGAGTTTGGTAATAATTTCTGACTTTGTGACACGCCCATCTCATACACATATTAAAAAAAACAAATTAGATTTCATCTAGAAGCTTCTTAACATATTCAAGTACTGTTAGAAAAATTACTTGCCCTCCGTATTTTCCCCTACATACCTTTTCAACTATCCAGTTAAAGTCATCAATTCCAGTGTACATTATGTCTAAGATGAGGCCTTTTCTGGCTTTTGGGTCTTCATTCACAGCAAGCCCAAGCAAAATGTATGCCTCAGGTTCAGAAACTGTTTAATTCAGTAACAGGAATAAAAAAATAGCAGCAGAATTAAGGAATCAGCACATAAATTTAATCACGTCAGCATGAGGTTCAAGATGCTTTCAGCAGTTTCCCAATAAATTTAACTTTTAAAATAGATATTAAAATTTGTCATAAGACTCAAACTTCATTTCTTTAAAATGCCTTCCTTTTTTTAATATCAGGAACTGCTAAATAAATGTTATATTCCTATTTTTCAAGTAATACCTGAACACAACTGCGTAACAAAAACAGACTTATTGCAGCGCTGTAACTGTCACTTTTTATAGTAAGGAACCATTTGAAACATATTTAATTCGAGTAGCACATAATAAATGAATTCTGTCAAAGTTCATAATTTTGAAATCAGATTTTTAAGAGTTTTAAAGAATGTTCACAAGTTAAGGAAGAAGAATGAATTAAATCATCAACTTACAGATCACAAACTTTGAAATCATAACTGGGGTTCCTTGTTCTTCAAAATGACTACTAAGATCCACTGGTTTCTTAGCCCTGTAAAAGTATAACATTTTATTTGCTTTTTACAAACTGCAATGTTTTTGGGAAAGAGAGCATCAGTCAGGAGGAAGGAAGTGACAGATCCAGACCTGAGGATGGGGAGAGTGAACATAGGCTTTTGGGAGGGTTTGGGGAATCAACAGGAGGGAAAGACCAGGTATAATCAGTAGAGGAGTAGACCAAGTTCCTTTTGGGCTAGCAGCTCCAATCCCCCTTTATTTGCTGGATGACATAATAATTCAAACATTTCATCCTAGGACCTTAAAAGAAGCGGTAGTGAGATTGTTAATATATTGGTTTTAATTTTCCAAAACTTATAAGATCTGGGGTAGTTTCTTTTAGATTGGAAAATAGCTCACATGAGTCTTCTACTGTAAAGGGGGTGAGGGGGGTGCGGGGGCATGCACAGAGCAAGAAGCTACAGACCAGCTAAATTAACATCTGTCCAAGGGAACATGTTAGGCGCTGTTATTGAAGGCACGAGAGCAGGGCACTTGGATAAGTGCATGGTAATCAGGCAAAGCCAGCATGGTGTCGTCAAAGGGAAATCATGTTTAATTAATTTATTGGAGTTCTTTGAAGGAATAACTTGTGTTGTGGATAAAGGGGAACCTGTGGATTTATTATGTTTAAATTTCCAGAAGGCATTTGATAAGGTGCCACATCAAAGATTGGTTTTCACAAAGGGAGAATATATTCAGCAATATGAAAACAATGAATAGAAATGGAATTGAAGAAAACAGCTTTAGGTGAAGAGTTGGCACAGGCACAAATTCTCAAATAGTTGTCTTTTAAGTCGTAGTTTGTAAGAATTTGTAAAAAAAATCTACTTATGAATTTATGAGCAGGAATAAGCCATTCAGCCACTTGAGCCTGCTCTAACATTCAATTGTATTATAGCTGATTTGGCAGTAACATCAAATCCCCATTCTCCCCTGCTCCTGAGAATATTTCATCCCTGTGCTTATTAAGGATCTATTCAGCTCTGCCTTAAAAATACTCAAGGATTCTAGTTCTACCATCTTTTCTAGAAAAGAACTCCATACCCTGCGAGAGAAAAAAAAATTACCTCTCTTCTGTTTTAAATAGGTGATCATTGACAGAGACTCCGAGTTATAGATTCTCTGATAGGAGCAAATAACCTCTCCACATCAAGACCCCTGTTAAGACTCCTGTCAGGATTTTGTATGTCAATCAAGTCACCTCTTACTTTTCTAAACTCTAGCAGGTATAAGACTAGCTTGGCCTTTCCTCATAAGACAACCTGCCATTTTCCAGATATCAGTTTGGTAAACCCTCTCTGAATTGCCTGCAATATATTTATATCCTTCCTTAAATGAGGTGACCAATACTATGCAAAGTACTCCATATGTGATCTCCCTAGTGCCCTCAATAACTGAAGAATAACTTTCCTATTTTTACATTCAAGTCCACTTGTGATATCATTCTATTAGCTTTCCTAATTACTTGTTGTACCTATATACTAATCTTTTGTGATTCATGCGTCTCAGAACTCTGCAATCGCTCACTGAACAGGTAACTGCTGCTTCTTCGTGGCAAAATAGACAGTTTCATATTTTCCCACATTGGTCTCCATTTGCCACATCTTTACTCATTCACCTATCAACATATTTTCTTGACATCATTATGTCCTCTTCACAAATTGCTTTCCTATATCTTTCTGTTGTCAGTAGGTTTGATAAATATATCTCCAGCCTCATCATATAAATTGTAAACATTTGAGGTCCCAGCATCAATCATTGTGACACACCACTCATTACATTTTGCCAACCTGAAAAATACCCATTTACATCTGCCTCATGTAAGCCTACCAATCATCTATCTGTGTCAATATGCTGTCCTTACACAGTAAGACCATAAGATATAGAGCAGTATTAGGCCATTCGGCCCATCAAGTCTGCTCCATTGTCCGATCATAGCTGATGTGTTTCTCACATTCTTCTGCGTCTCCCATATTCCCTTACTAATCAAGAACTCATCTATCTCTGTCTTAAAGACACTCAGCGATTTGGCTTCCACAGCCTTCTGTGGCAATGAGTTCCTCAGATTCACCACTTTCTAGGGAGTCATGGTGGCTCAATGGTTAGCACTGCTGCCTCACAGCACCAGAGATCTGGGTTTGATTCCACCATCAGGCAAACGTCTGTGTGGAATTTGCACATTCTTCCCATGCCTGTGTGGGTTTCGTCTGGGTGCTTCGGTTTCCTGCTATAAACCAAAGATGAGCAGGTTAGGTGGATTGTAGTATCCAGAGATATGCAGGCTAGATCGATTAGCCATGAAAAATGCAGGGTTACAGGGATTGTGGAGGTGTGTGGGATACTTTCCAGAGGGTCAGTTTGGACTCAATGGGCTGAGTAGCCTACTTGCATACTGAGTATACCGATATTGAAAAGAGTTCATTGTGCCGTTTTGCTGCTTGTTGATGATCATAATATCTTTAATATCAGTACACTCAGACAATGAAGGCTATCAGTTTAACTGGGACAAGGTAACCAAAGTAGCCCAAGCCAAACATAGACACGTACGGGAATTCCTAGAGGCATAGTTCTCCACCCATAATGCAATCACCAAACACATAGAATTGGGCCCCATATACAAACCCATACAGATCAAAACCGGAAATGACACTACTCACCATAACAGACCGGACAGTATAAATTCCAAGCAGAGTAGAATAACATTGCTTCATTGAAGGCTCCACTGATGATGTGACCTAGCAGGGTGGTGAAACATCTGAACAAGAACAAGCCAGCTTGGCAAGCAAGTCAACAGCTTCATCCACAGCCCGAACTACAGATCTTTGCCAAAACTTTAAAGTGGAACATGTTCCCCATGTCCAATCTATCCGGGACTTCCACTATTCTGTAAGTTTCAATCAGATCCCCTCCTCATCCATTTAAACTCCATTGAGTACAGACTCATTGCTCTGAACCGCTACTCAGATGACAAACCCTTCATTCTCGGGATCATTCTAGTGAACCTCTTCTGGACTCCCTCCAAGGCCAGCACATCCTTCTTTACATACAAAGCCCAAACTGCTAAAAATATTTCAAATGCACTGACCAAAGCCTTATACAGCCTCAGAAGTAAATCTATGATCTTGTATTCTAGCCCTCTAGAACCAAATGCTAAAATTGCATTTGTCTTCCTAACTGCCAATTGATGTGACATGTTAACCTTAAGAGGATCCTGAATTAGAACGTGTAATTTCCTTTGTGCTTCAGATTTCCAAAGCCTTTCCCCATTTAGAAAGTAGTCTATGCCTCTATTATGTACCACCAAAGTGCATAACCTCTTACTTTCCCACATTGTATTCCATCTGCCACTTCTTGCCCACTTTCTGATCTGTCCAAGTCCTTCTGCAGCCTCCCCACTTCCTCAACACTACCTGTTCCTTCATCTATCCTTGTGTCATCTGCAAACTTAGCAATATATTTTCAACTGCGTTGTCTAGATCATGTGTATAATGTGAATAGTTGTGGTCCCAACACTGACCCCTGTGCAACCCATGAGTCTCCAGCTGCCACCTGAAAAAGACCACTTTATCCTACTCTTTGCCAGTCAGCCAATCCTCCATCTTTACCAGCCTTGCTCGTAATACCATGGGCTCTTATCTTATTTAGCAGCCTTCTTGCAGCACCTCGTCAGAGGCCTTCTGGAAATCTAAGTAGATCGTGTCCATTGGCTCTCCTTTGTCTAACTTGCTTGTTACCTCCTCAAAGAATTCTAACAAATTTTGTCAGACATGACCTTGCCTCAATGAGGCCATGCTGACAGTCCCATTTTATCATTGACTTCCAAGTACTCAGCAATCTCAATCTTAATAATGAACTCTGAAATTTTACCCAGACACACTGAGGCCGAGTTAACTAGCCTAGAATTTCCTTTCGTGGATTCCTTACAGTGTGGGAGCAGGCCATTTGGCCCATGGAGTCCACACCGATCCTCCGAACAGCATCCCACCCAGACCCATGCTCTCCCCCACCTCCCCTCACCTATCCCTGTAACTCTGCATTTCCCATGGCTAATCCACCTAGCCTGAACATCCCTGGGCACTGTGGGAAATTTAGCACAGCCAATTCACCTAACCTAAACATCTTTGGACTGTGGGAGGAAACCAGAGCACCCGGAGGAAACCCACGCAGACACGGGGAGAATGTGCAAACTCCACACAGACAGTTGTTTGAGGATGGAATCGAACCTGGGTCCCTACGTGGATGCTATAAGATTGAGAATATTTAAGGAGGAGATAGTCAGATTTTTAATGAATAATGGGATGAAGGATTATGGGGACCAAGCGGGATAGTGGAGTTGAGGCTGAGATGAGATCAGCCATGATCATTTTAAATGGTGGAGCAGGGTCAAGAGGCTGATTTGCCTACTCCTGCTCCTAGTTCTTATGCTCTCATGTTCTTTTAGGTCAAAAGTGGGGATGTCCGCAGATGATTGCAGAACGTTCAGCACCATTCACAACTCCTCAGGTAATGAAACAGTCCGTGTCCAAATGCAGCACAATTGGACAAAATCCAGGCGTAGGCTGACAAATGGCAAGCAACGTTCACACCACAAATGCCAGACAATGACCATCTCCAATAAGGACAATCTAATCACTGTCCAACCACACTCACGAAGCTGAAACCATCCAGCATAAAATAGCCCACTTGATTGACACTGCGTTCACAAACATCCACTCCCTCCACCACCTCCCCCCCCCCGATACTCTGTAGCAGCAGTGTGCACTAACTAAAAGAAATACTGAAGAAATTCACTAAAGATCTTTAGCCTGCATCTTCCAAGCCCAAGACATTTCCATCTAATAAGACAAAGGCAGAAGATACATGGGAATACCACCATCTGCAAGATTTCCTCCAAGTCACTCATCATCCTGACTTGGAAATATATTGCTGTTCCTTTACTTCGTTGGGACAAACTCCTGGAATTCCCTCCCTAAGGGCATTGTGGGTCAACCTACAGCACATCGACTGCAGTGGTTCAAGAAGGAGCTCAGCACCACCTTCTCAAGGGCAACTAGTAATGGGCAATAAATGCTGGTCCAGCAAGCATACCCACAACTCCCGAGTGAATTTAAAAAAGTATTAAAACTGCAGAATGCTACAGAGTAGGGGGACTTGGGTGACATCGTCCATGATTCACAAAATGCTAGCATCCAGGTTCAGTGAATAATAGGGAAAGCAAATTAAATTTTGGCTTTTATTTCAAAGGAAAAAAAGTACGAACATAGGAAGGTTTTGCTAAAACTATACAATGTACTCATCAGACCACAGCTGGAATAATGTGACCAGTTTGGGCCCTTTAGTTAATGCAAGATATACTGGCATTGGAGGCAGTCCTGAGAAGGTTCACTGGGCTGACTCCCAGCTATGGAGGGATATCTGATGTGGAAAGGTTAAGTAGATTGCAACTGTACTCACTGGAATATAAAAGAATGAGAGGCGTCCTTATTGAAACATATAAGATTCTTAGGTGACTTGGCAGGGTAGGGGCAGAAAGGTTGCTTTCCCTTGTTGGAGAGTCTATGGCTAGAGAGGATAATCTCAGAAAAAGGAGACACACATTTGAAGCTGAGAAGAGGAGGAATTTCCTTTCTAGGAAGGTTGTGAATCTGTGAAATTTGTTACCACAGAATGCGTTTGAGGATGGTTTATGAAGAACATTCAAGGCTGTGACGGACAGAATTTTAATCAGTAAGGGACTCAAGGGTATTGGGGAAAAGGTGGGAAAATGGAATTGAGAATTATCAGATAAGCCATGATTTCACTGAATGGTGGAATGGACTATTCATCTATTAACCAGCTTCTCCACAGCAGAGTAAAAACGAACAACTGGAGACTGAAAATGTTTCAGTTAATGCAAAGCCATCACAGCACCTCATTCCCTTCCTCCACTTAACTCCCTCAATCACTTAAATCACTGGCACTCACAAAAGTGCTAAAATATCTGGGTTCTTAAAGTGGAGCACAAACCTTTTCTCACAGTTTACCATAAATTTGTCAAATCACATTCATAATGTGCACTACTTATAGATATACATATGTACATATATCATAATGCATGAGTCTTAACTCATTCTAGCCATTTACATTCTTACATACAGTGAAATCAGGCCAAAACACAATTCATAATGATTATATTACTTGTATGTTTTGCTTACTGAACTTCCATAGTGGTACATGAAATATTAAAAATTTTTAGTAGTTCGTCCACCCCCTCAGGTTCAAGCCATCCTTTCGATATCACATTGTCGAGGAATTTATCACCAATCGTCAACAACATCTGAAAATACAGATTGAACACAGCTTTGAAATGAGCAATTCCTGGAAGATAGATAAACATAATTAGCAGAAACCATGGATCACATTTTAATGGTTTGAACTGTATTCATTTCATAGGAAATTATTTAGAAACTAGACTGTTAAATGTGCAAGTCAAGCGACTGATCTGATTTTTCCAGTTTGTAGATTAGTGAATCAATTTTAATTGATCTGATGGGCCTGATTTCTCATCCTGGCCCTGGGTATGGGTCACGTTGAGGAAAACAGTGGGCCCACTGGATTTTCCTTACTTCATGCAAAAGTTGGTGTCATTTTTACCAATTTCTCAGAGTGACTATCACTGCTACTATAGTGCTTGTTACGTTCTAGGCATCCAATGAACCTCCTGAATTAATTACTATACTAGTTTAAATATGCAAAGAAGAATTAGACAATTGTTTAAGATCCTTATGCAAAAATGCATGATAAGCTAGATGGGTTGTGTCCTTTGCAGATTTGCTTGTTCTACAGTAGGTCCACTGGAGGCGACTGAAGAATGAATAGGAAATGTTCCTATTAATTCCCCTTCTGTGGAAAGTGGGTGGGGTGCTCCTCTTGACTTCAGTACCACTGGGTGTACTCTACTCTCTTGTATCTTGTCCATGTACTGGAGATCAGGAGCACATTGAGATTCTCAGTCTCCATCACCTTATTCCCTGTTTGTCTATGAATGACTGTGATCTTTCACTATGTACTCAGAGTTATGTCTCAGATTTCAGCCTTCAATGCCTCCTGCCCTCCAGCTCCAATCCTAAACCCAGCAAATTTCCAGACATAGAATAGAATAGAATCCCTACAGTGCAGAAAGAGACCATTCAGCCCATCAGGTCTGCACTGACCATCTGAAGAGCATCCCACCCTATCCCTATAACCCCACATTTCCCATGGCTAACCCACCTAGCCTGCACACCTTTGGTCTTGGAAATCCACACAGACACAGGGAAAACACACAAACTCCACACAGTCACCCAAGACTGAAGTCGAACCCAGACCCCTGGCACTGTGAGACAGTAGTGTTAACCGCTATGCCACCATGCCACACTATGGCTAGAAGTGTTGGTGACCCCACACTCACACCACCTTACCCCATTCCATTTATTCAACCATCCAAGGTCCAATCTTCTGATTGCCTCTTTTCAACCTGTATGCCAACCACCAGGAAATCCATTCAACTGATCTGCAATTTCCTAGATTCTTGCTGTACTCTGCACCCATTTAACATTGAGGCTGCATTTGTTCAAGGAGCTGTGGCAGAACTTGAGTTAATGGGAATCAGGGGTGGGGTTAACTTGCCACTGGTTGGAGTCATACCGGGCATCAAAGGAAAATAGCTATGCTTGTTCAAGGTGAGACCTTGAAAAAGACAATCTGCAAAAAGAGTTTTAGTTTGGGGAAAGGCATTTTACTAAAATGAAGCAGAATCTGGCCAAAGTAGTACAGGAACAGCTACTTGTATGAAATCTATAGCAGAACAGTGGTGGGGGTGGCAAAGGATTAAAATGGAAATTGGGAGAGTACAGGCCCAACACTGTTAAGGTAAAATGTTGCAGCAACAAACCCAGAGAACCCTAAATGTCTAAGAATACTCAGGACTGGATAAGAAGGAAAAGGAAGGCATAAAAGGAGCAAATCAAAAGAGGCTCTTGGGAATACAAAAAGTATAAGTATAAAGTATAGGTTGTTAAGAAAACAATTGGGAGACCAAAGAGGGGCATGAGAAAACACGGGTAGGTAAAATTAGGGAGCATTCCAAGATATTCTATAAGTACATTAAGGAGAAGAGGACAACCAGAGGAACAGGAAGATCCATTAGGCAATCTGTATGTGGAGCTGGAGGATGTTACTTCTGTTCTTCACTTGGGAGAAGGAGGATATAGGTACAGAATTTTGGGAGATGGCAGAAAAGTTCTTGAGCAGAATGACACAGGAAGTGAGGAAGTTTTGGAAGTTTTGGCAGGCTTAAAAGTGGACAAATGTCCTGGCCTGGATGAGTTCTATCCCAGCCTCCTAAGGGAGGTGAGGAAGGAAATTGCGGGGGGTTCTGATCTAATTTTAATTCCTCTCTGGCCACAGTGGAGCGACCAGAGAACTGGATGACAGCTAACGTGGCTCCACTTTGCAAGAAGGGTGATAGAGATAAACCAGGGAATTACAGACCATTGAGTCTCACAACAATGGCCATGGTTCTGAAGGAGAGAATGACTCTTTGGTTAGAGAGGCAAGCTTTGATCAGGGATAGTCAGCATGACTTTGTCAGAGGGAGGTTATGCCTAAACAGTTTGATTTAGTCTTTCAAAGAGGTGTGTATATGAGGGTAGTGCAGTTGATAGGGTTTATAGGGATTTCAACAAAGCCTTTGACAAAAACATACATGGGAGATTGATAAAGAAGATAAAAACAGATGGGATCCGGGGTAACTCAAAAAGATGAATCTAAAATTGGCTCAGTGGTAGAAGATAGAGAGTGGTGGTAGAAGGCAGTGTGACGAGCCCAATGTCTGGTGGCATACCATAGGGTTCATGCTGGGTCCGTTATTCTTGTGATATGTATAAATTATATAAATGAGAATGTCATAGAGTCACAGAGTCCTACAGCATGGAGACAGGCCCTTTGGCCCAAACTGGTCCATGCTGACCAAAATGTCCATCTGTGCTGACCCAGTTTCCCTGCACTTGGCCCATATCTTTCTAAACCTTTCCAAGTATTCATCCAAATGTGTTGTCAGTGTCCCCACCTCAACCACTTTCACTGGCTGCACATTCCATGTGCCTACCATCCTATGTGTAAAAAAAGTTGTTTTCTTTCCCCTCTTACCTTAAACTGATGCCCTTTAGCCCTTGATTGCCCAACCATGAGAAGAAGGCTGAGTTCATTCACCCTATCCATGCCTTTCATGAACGTATACACTCCTATAAGATTCCCCCCTCAGTCTCTAATTCTCTAAAGAAAAAAAATCCTAGCTTGTCTAACCTCTCCCTATAACTCAGTCACTTGAGTCCTGACAACACCCTTGTAATTTCTTCTGCACTCTTTCCAGTTTATTAACATCCTACCTAGAGCAAAGTGATCAAAACTGAACACAATAGTCCAAGTGCAACCTCACCAACGTCCTGTATGACTGCATCATAACTTCCCAACTTCTATACTCAATGCCCTGACTGATGAAGGTCAGGGTGCCAAAAGCCTTCTTCACTGCCCTCTCTACCTGTGATTCCACTTTCAGAGAATCTTGCACCTGAACTCCAAGGTCCCTCTGTTCCACTACGTTCCTTAAGGCCCTACCACTCACTATGAAGCTCATACCTTGATTTGTCTTTACAAAATCAACACCTTGCACTTATCTATATTAAACTCCATTTGCCATTTCTCGGCCCACTTCCCCAACTGATCAAGATCCTGCTGCAATTTCTGATAACTTTCCTCACAGTCCACGATACCGCCTATTTTAGTGTAATCTGCAAACTTACTAATCATGCCTTGTATATTTGCATCCAAATCATTGATATAGATAACATACAGCAATGGGCCCAGCACTGAACCCTGAGGCACACCATTAGACACAGGGCTCCAGTCCAACAAGCATCCTTCCATTATTACTGTCTGCTTCCTAGCGTCAAGCCAATTGTGTATCCAATTTACCAGTTCTCCCTAGATTCCATGCGATCTAACCTTCCAGAGCGGCCTACCATATGGAATCTTATCAGTGTGGAGGAAATAAGTAAGTTTCTGGATGACATGTAGATTGGCCAGCTGGCTAAGATTAGGAAGAAGATCCTGGATTACAGGAATGTAGACAGGTTGGTCATGTGGGCAAAACAGTGGCAGATGGAATTTAACTCTGAAAATCTATTATCAAACATGTTACAACAGGGAACTTGGATAAGTTTGAGATAATCAGGCAGAACCAACATGGTCTTGTCAAAGGAAAGTCATTTTTGACTAATTTATTTGAGTTTTTTGAAGAAATAACTTGTGCTAAGAATAAAGAAGAACCAGTGGAAGGATTGCACTTACATTTCCAGAAGGTATTTGATAAGGTGCCACATCAAAGATGATTCCAGAAAATAAAATAAAAGTAAGGAGTAACACATTGGCATGGATAGAAGATTGACTGGCTAACAGAAAACAGAATATGAATAAATGTGTATTTTTCAGGCAGACAGGCTATAGGTAGTGTTCCACAGGGGTCAGTGTTGGGGCCTCAACTCTTTCCAGTTTCTATAAATGATTTGGATGAGATAACTGAATGCAAGGTAGCTAAATTTGCTGAGATACAAAAATAGGTATGAAAATGAATTGTGAAGAGGGCATAGGAGCCTACAAAGAGTTACAGATAGGTTAAGTCAGTGGGCAAAGATCTTGCAAATTGAGTACAATCTGAGAAAGTGTGAAATTGTCCATTTTGGTAGAAAGATAAAAAAGGAATCATTTTGGAGAGCCCTGAGATGTAGAGAGATCTGGGTGTCTTAGTCCATAAATACAGAAGGTTAGTATACAGGTACAGAAGGTAGTCAAGAAAGCTAATCTGTCTTATCATGAGGGGAATTGAATGCAAGAGAAAGGAGGTTCATGGTTTATGCCTATCCAGGGCATTGATGAGGCCACATCCTGAAGTACTATGTATGGTAATGGTCACTGTACAGAGGGATGTTAATTTGTTGGAAGCATTTCAGAAAAGGTTTATGAGACTCATACCTGGAATGAGCGATTCCCTTATGAGGAAGACTAGACAGGCCAGCCCTATATCCTCTGGAGTTTAGATGAGTCAGAGGTGACTTAATTGAAACATGTAAGATCCTGAGGGGACTTGACTTATGGATGCTGGAAGGATGTTTCCTCTTATGGGAGAATGTAGAACTAGTGATCAGAGTTTAAAAATAAAAAGTTGCTGTTTAAGACAGAGAGATGAGAAAACTTTTTTTTCTCTCAGAGGGTTGCGAGTCTTTGGAATTCCTTTCCTAAAAAGGCAGAATATTTTAAATATTTTATGGCAGAGGTACATAGATTCTTGATTATCAAGAGAATGAAAGATTATTAGGGAATTGCAGGAATACAGAGTTGAAATTAAAATGAGATCAGCCAAGATCTTAGACAACAAGGTGCAGAGCTGGATGAACACAGCAGGCCAAGCAGCATCATAGGAGCAGTAAGGCTGAGGTTTCGGGCCTAGACCCTTCATCAGAAAAATTACTGCTCCTATGATGCTGCTTGGCCTGCTATGTTCATCCAGCTCTGCACCTTGTTGTCTCAGATTTTCCAGCATCTGCAGTTCCTACTATCTCAGCCAAGATCTTGTTTAATGAGTTCAAAGGGTCTGAACAGCCTACTTTTCCCCCTTGTTTGTATGTTCATAGTTTCTTTTTCAGAAATGCAAATTGTGCTTTTCGAAGATTACCCTATGTAAACGCAGGCAAATATGAACAACAGTTATATTAATTTAAAAGAATTATCCTACAATTTGCATCTCCGAAACTAAAGGTACAGGTTTGTCGATGTATCCCTGAAGGTTAAACCAGGAGATGATGACTTGCAAACAACGATAGAGTCCACCCCAATCACTGTCATTTTCATGGTCTTGTAGGCAATGATGAAAGGTATAGAATCCATGCACGAGGGAAACCTGTTCCAAAGTAATAAAACATAGAAGCTGAAAGTGCATGTAACTGAATCCCAATATTTTTTTTCCTTAACTTGCAGCCTACTGATACAATATAAATGCTTTAAAAGGCAAATTATTCTTTTTAATGTCTATTTTGCTTTACTTAAACAATATACAGTATTGTAGATTTAGATGTATACCTTGAACTCATCAGGGTTGGGAGAAGGAATGTATTTATGTATATCTCTCAGATAGAAAGATTTCACTTCGTCACTTGGAAAAAGATAAGCCATAGGGCGGCGGAAGAAGGGTTTATTGCCTAGGCCAAGTTCAGCATGCAACTCCTGTACACAGCAAAAAATGTACAACTTTTAATTGTAAGATCCTTAGGTCATCATTTAATGATTATTATTTTACAAACTATACAAACAGTTCTAACCTAGAATTACAACCAAAAATCCATAAGGTTCTAAATTCTGCAATAACTTGGTTGTTCTTACGATAATCTAGCTAAAAACAGCCAGATATCTTGCACTACTAAAACTGCTGTGCTACAAATGGTAAGAACTTTCAATTTCTGGAGTGGCACGAACATAACAAATTCCTGTAGAAAACACACAGACTGAAGTTCCGCGCTATCCTGTTTCTTGGCTAGGATGTCCTGTCACGTCCAAATATCCACAAAACAATCAGTAAAGTATAAAGCATAGGATACATTTAAAATGGTGGACAGGCATGGCCTTTTGCAATGAGCTGCAGTCTCTGTGAAACTGGTAAATTAAAAGACAAATTGGTGGAATGGGCAGGTAGATGGGCGATGAGGTTCAGTACAGTGAAGTATAGATTACACATTTTGGTGGGAATAATACTTAAATAGGAGGTACAATTCTAAAAGGGGTGCAGGAACAGAAGGACTTGGGTGTATGTGTGCACAGATCATTGGAAGTAGCAGTACAGATAGAGAAAGCATTATGTAAAGCGTACAGGATGCTCAGATTTATTAATAGGGTAATAGAGTAGAAAAGCAAATAGGCGATGTTGAACTTGTATAAGACACTTGTTAGACCTCAGCTGGAGTATTGTGTACAGTTGTGAGTGCCACATTATACGAAGGATGTGAATGCATTGGAGAGAGTGTGGAAGTGATTTACAACAATGGTTCCAGGGATGAGGAACTCCATTTACAAGGATGGATTGAAGAAATTGGACCATTCTCCTTGGAGATAAGAGTAAGGGGAGATTTGATAGAGGTTTTCAAAATTTTGAGCAGGCTTGATGGATTAGAAAGCGAGAAACTTTTTCTTAATCACCTGTGTTACACTGGCTGGCCAGCATTTATTGCCCATCTCCAGTTGCCCTTGAAAGGTTGGTGGTCAGCTGCCTTCTTAAACCTCTGCAGTCCATGTGCTGTAATACTGTTAGGGATGGGATTCCAGAATTTTCACCCAACGATGGTAAAGGTACGGTAATATATTTCCAAGTCAGGATGGTGACGGACCTGGAGGGGAACTTGCAGATGGTGATGTTCCTGTGCATCTGCTGCGCTTGTCCTTCTAGATGGAACTGGTTGTGCGTTTGGAAGGTGCTGTCTCACAACCAGTCCATGCCGAATATAATCCCAAACTAAATTAGTCCCAGTTGCCTGCTCCTGGCCCATATCCCTCCAAACCTTTTCTATTCATGTATCTGTCCAAATGTATTTTAAACGTTGTAATTGTACCTACATCCGCCACTTCGCAGGAAGTTCATTCTACATCCTCTGTGTAAAAAATTTGTTTCTCATGTCTTTTTTAATTCTCCTCTCACCTTGAGTGTTGTTGGAACTGCACCCATCCGGGCAACTGGGAAATATTCCATCACACTTTTGACTTATGTTATGTCAATAGTGGACAGACTCTGGGGAGTCAGGATGTGAGTTACTCGCTACAGTATTCCTAGCCTCAGACCTGCTTCCGTAGGTAAGTCCAGGAGAGTTCTGGTCATTGGAAACCCCAGATGTTAATAGTTGAGGATTCAGCAATGGTAATGCCATTGAATGTCAACGGTTGGTGGTTAATTTCTCATTGAGATGGTCTTTGCCTGGAATTTGTGTGTAACTTGCCAGCTATTAGCCCAAGCCTGGGTATTGTCCAGATCTTGTTACATTTGAACATGGTCTGCTTCAGTATCTGAGAAGTCACAGATGGTGTTGAACATTGTGCAACCATCGGCGAACATCCCCACTTCTGACCTTATGATGGAGGGAAGGTCATTGATGAAGCAGCTGAAGATGGTTGGGCCTAAGCTGCTATCCTGAGGAACTCCTGTAGAAATGTCCTGGAGCTGACATGACTGATCTCCAACAACCATGATTGTCTTCCTGTGTGTCAGGTATAACTCCAGCCTGTAGAAATATTTCCTCTGATTCCTTTGGTTCCAGTTATGTTAGGGCTCCTTGATGCTGCACGCAGTTGAATACAGCCTAGATATCAAGGACTGTCCTTCTCACCTCACCTCAGCAATCTTTCTTTTGATGTTTGAAATGTGCCTGTAATGAGGTCTGGTGCTGAGTGGCCCTGATGGAACCAAAACTGGGCATCACTGAGCAGGTTGTTGCTGAGCAGGTGCTGCTTGATGGAACTATTGATGACACCTTCCATCACTTTACTGATGATCAAGAGTAAACTGATTGGGCGGTAAATGACTGGATTAGATTTGTCCTGCTTTTTGAGAACAGGACATGCCTAGGCAAGTTTTCACGTTGTCAGGTAGATGCCAGTGTTGTAGCTATACTAGAACAGCATGGTTAGGAGAGTGGCAAGTTCTGAAGCACAAACCTTCAGTACAGAATGCTGTCAAGTTCCATAACCTTTGCAGGAACCAGTCTTCCAATCCATTTCTTGATATCATGTGGAGTGAATTGAATTGGTTGAAATCTGGCATCCGCAATGCTGGAAACCATTGGAGGAGGCAGAGATGGATCATCCACTTGACACTTCTGGCTGAAGATTGCAGTAAATGCTTCAGCCTCATCTTTTGCACTGACGCTCTAGGCTCTTCCATCATTGATGATTGGGTATTTGTGGAGCCTTCTCCTCCAGTGGGTCGTTTAATTGTCGCCACCATTCACAAATGAATGTGGCAGGACTGCAGAGCTTAGATACGATCCATTGGTTGTGGGATCACTTAGCTCTGCCTATCACTTGCTGTCTATGCTGTTTCACATGTGAGTAGTTCGGTTTGGTAGCTTCAACACGTGAGCCCCTCATTTTTAGGTATGCCTGGTGCTGCTCCTGGCATGCCCTTCTGCATTCTCCATGGATCAGGGTTGATCCCCTGGCTTGACGGTAATGTGAAGGTGGACTTTGTCTCTTCAAGGACTGTGCATCAGTCACTCTTACCAATACTGTCATGGACAAATGCATCTGCAGCTGGCAGATTGGTAAGGATGAGGTCAAGTATGTTTTCCCCCTTGTTGGTTCCCTGTCCTTAGGGCCTGGCCAGCTTAATCAGTAATGCTGTTGCTGAGCCACTCTGGACATTGAAATCCCGCAACCAGAGAACATTCTGCTACCCTCAGTTCTTTCTCCAAGTGTTGTTTAAAATGGAGTAGTACTGACTCATCAGCTGAGTGAGGCTGGTACATGGTAATAAACAGAAGATTTCCTTGTCATGTCTAATCTCACGCCATGGGGCTTCATGGGGGTCTGGGTCAATGTTGAGGACTCACAGGGCAAATCCCCCTTCCCATATACCACTGTGCCACCATCTCTGCTGGGTCTATCCTGCTGGTGGGACAGGACATATCCAGGGATGGTGATGATGGTGTCTGGGACATTGTCTGTAAGGTATGATTCTGTGAGTATGACTATTTCAGTCTAGTCTTTGAGACAGCGCTCCCAATTTTGGCACGAGTCCTGAGATGTTAATAAGGAGGACTTGGCAGGTTCAACAGTGCTACTTTTGTCATTATCATTTCGGGTGCCTAAGTTGATGACAGGTAGTCCATCCGGTTTCATTTCTTTATCGAAACGTCATAGCGATTATACAATTGGATGGCTTCCTAGGCCATTTCAGAGGGCAGTTAAGTGACAACCACATTGCTGTGGATCTGGAGTCACATGTCAGTCAGATCAGGTGACAAAGGTAGATTTCCTTCCCTGAACCAGACGGGTTTTTCTGACGATGACAATGAAGCATTAGATTCTTAGCTCCAGATTTTATTGAATTCAGATTCTGCCATGGCAGGATTTGAACCTGAGTCCCCAAAACATGGGTGTCCCCTCCCCTACGGTTTCTGATCATAAAAGGAACAAGAGGCCATAGATTTAAAGTGATGTGCAAAAAAAGCAATGGTGAACCGAAACAAACTCTTTCACTACATTAGTGAAGCAGATGGGTTTTTCCCTGACAATCGATTCACGGTCATCATCAGACTATTAATTCCAGAATTGTTTTTAAATTGAATTCAAATTCAAATTTGAACCAAGGTCCCCAGAACATTACCTGTGTCTCTGGATTGACAATCCAGTGATAATACCACTCGGTCTAATCTCCCCTGAGACCATGGTTTTGAGACAGTATCATGCTAAATCACATTTCCTATTATTAAACAATATAAGCACATTTTCGAAAGTGTAAAATGATGGGATGAGAGCTTGTGTGGCACAGTGGTATTGTTCCTACTGCTGCACCAGGAGATTTAATTCCCACCTGAACAGGTTGATTAGAAAATAACTAAAATGACAGGATGTGCTGATTAAGAAAAAAAAGAACATCAAATAAATTGCTACTTTCAACATATAGTAATTAATGGACAGACTGTATAAATAAAAAAAGTGACATAGACTCCATTCATACTTTCCGTTGTGGTTCCAGCGTAGCATCACTGAATCCTGCAGGGTATATTACCGTCGTAAGAGTAGCTTTGTCTGGCAATTCAAAGTGGAATGGTTGTGGCATTGGGACTGTCCTTCCATTTGTATATCGCTGAATACATTTGTCCATCGCAGATAGCTGTGCAGTAATTGCTTCCACAAATTGATCCTGTACACTGTCAAAACAATAATTTACAGTTACCGTTAAAGGTATAATATGTTATGAAACTATACTTATTGTAAAATTACTTTATGAATTTGCTGGCTGGAAACATCTGAGTCATTTTTTTTAAACAAAGTGACTGAAGCCATATTGCAAGATTTCCAAAATCGTCCAAACATTTCCATCACTGAAGGTTCAATATTCCAATATTCTCAAGTGCAGGCAACCCATCAGCAAAGCCTTGCCTTTAAGTAGTATAAATGGGGGTCATCTCCTACTCATTAGCTAAGTATCCAGTCATTCACCTGGGTACTCAAATTGTGTGGAGACAAACCATTAGAAATAATCACTTTGACGATGGGACACAGATCAATAGTAAAAACTAGTATATGTTTATGACAAGCAGTTTTTAACTCAGATTTACAGGATTTCTGTATTTTCTTGTAAGAAATTCTGTCAGAAATCCATCTCCTAAATGAACATCCAGTAAAGGGCAGGTTGGGTACTAAATACACCTGGATACAAGGGGCAAAGATTTTCATCATAGAGATGAGAAACATGAATTGGGCCATTTCCCAATGTTACAATCTCACCTCTGCTTGGCAGCCTCAACCCTGCAACTTTAGGTAGAAGGCAGGAATGGACTGGAGTCAGTACTGTCACTGCCCAAGGCAGGCTCAAGGTTTAGTGGGTTAATGCTAAGGCCAGCAGGTTAAAAGAACCTCCTCCATTTGTTAGGATGTCAGCCCAGGTCTATAGATGAATTAAGGTGCCCTAACATTCACCATCTACTCCCTCATCCATTCTTCACCCCTCATCTCCTTCTCTCCTTAGTTAGCACCATAGCTCAAAGCCTCTCTATCCCCCTCAACACATGCACCATCTTTACCATCCCCCCCATCTCACGGTATCTAAAACAACCATTGAAAAGGCATTTCAAAAAGTCTTTATCCTGTTAAACACTTATAATAATATTAGTACGACCAAGAACACATTCCCATGACAGCTGTATCAAAAACCATTATTCAAATTAATGCATTAATGAGTTTGAGACTCAGTCAAACATTCATAATGGGATTCCATTGCACTGCTGTGTAAACAAACCATCACAGATGAATACATTAAAACCATTGAAACAGATCAAATAACTCAGCCATCCATTCAAGTGATGTAACAGGGAAATAGATACCTGAGCTTTATTGAAAGATGCTCAACCCTTTCTTCAAGTTTTATTGTAGGGTTAGAATTTAATGAGTGTTAGGTTTTTGAATGGGATCCCTCCTGATAATTAATGTACCAAAACTGTTTAACACTTAGGAAAGCAGTAAATGGTTATAGATGAGAATTCCATTCCTCACTCGGGATGAAGACTCATCTTAGATAGTGGCGGGTTATTAATCCCAGTATCACCATGTGCGAGGTAAACTGTTCAGTTGACATTCTGCAGCCAGCATGGAGGTAAGCACAGTGGGTTGTCACAGCAGGGTTGAAGGAGGGGAAACCCAGAGAACTTGGAGGTCAGGGTATCAGGCATTGAGGAATTAGGAACGTAGAATATAGAACATAGAACTGTACAGCACAGGAACAGGCCTTTGGCCACAATGTTGCGCTGAACATGACGTCAAATGAAACTAATCCCTGCTGCTTACTTTTGGTCCATATCAATCCATTCCTTGCATATTCTGTGCTTATCTAAAAGTTCCTTAAATGCCCTTATCGCATCTGCCTCCACCACTATACCTGGCAGTGCATTCCGGATTCCTACCACTCTGTTTAAAAAAACGGCCCTCACATCTCCTTTGAACTTTCCCCCTCTCACCTTATATACATGTTCCCTAGTATTAGACGTTTCAACTCTGGGAAAAAAATTCTGACCATCAGCCCTATCTATGCATCTCATAATTTTAAAGGCTTCTATCAAGTCTCCCCTCAGCTTCTGCCACTCAAGAGAAAACAACCTGAGTTCTTCTAGCCTCTTCTTATAGCTCATACCCTCTAATCCAGGCAGCATTCTGGTAAACCTCTTCCACACCCTCGCCAAATCCTGCACATCTTTCCTGTAATGTGGTGACCAGAATTGAATGCAATACTCTAAGTGTGGCCTAAACAAAGTTTTATAAAGCTGCAACAAGACATCCTGACAGTAAAGGCAAGCGTGCCGTATGCCTTCTTTACCACCCTATTTACTTGCATGGCCACTATTAGGGAACTATGGACTTGAACTTCAAGATCCTTCTATTCATCAATGCTGTTCAGAGTCCTGCCATTAACTGTATACTTTTCCTTAACATTTGCTCTCCCAAAGTGCAGAACCTCACACTTACCCAGATTAAACTCCATCTGCCCATTTCTGCAACTGATCTATATCCTGCTGTATCCTTTGACAACTTTCTATGCAATACACGACTCCACCGATCCTTGTATCATCTGCAAACTTACTAACTCACCCATCTACATTTTCATCCAAGTAATTTATATATGTATCATAAACAGCAGATGTCCCAGTACGGAACCCTGCAGAACACCACTAGTCACAGACCTTAAGCCTGAAAAACACCCTTTGACCGCTACCCTTTGTTGTCCATGAGCAATCCGATTCTGAATCCACGCGGCTAGTCACTGTGGATCTCAAGCATCTTAATCTTCTGGATGAACCTACTATGAGGCACCTCGTCGAAAGCCTTGTTAAAATCCATGTAAACAACATACACTGCTCTACCTTCCTTGATCGCCTTCATCACCTCCTCAAGAAATTCAATCAAGCTAGTAAGACATGACAACCCTGCACAAAGCCATGCTGACTGTCCCTAATAAGCCATTCTTTTCCAAAGGTATGTAAATCCTATCCCCAAGAATTCTCTCCAATAGCTTCCCAAACCCTGATGTGAGACTCCCAGGTCTTAATTTCCTGGATTGCTTTTTGGACTGGAGGCCTGTGACCAATAGTGTGCCACAAGGATCGGTGCTGGGTCCACTGCTTTTTGTCATTTATATTAATGATTTGGATGTGAATATAGGAGGTATGGTTAATATGTTTGCAGATGACACCAAAATTGGTGGTCTAGTGGACAGCTAAGAAGGTTTTCTCAGAGTTTAATGGGGCTTTGATCAGATGGGCCGATGGGCCGAGGAGTGACAAATGGAGTTTAATTTAGAGAATGGGAATGGTCGTGGGTTTGGAAGGTGCTATCTGAGGATCTTTGGCGAATTTCTGCAGTGCATCTTGTAGATCGTACACAATGCTGCTACTGAGCATCGATGGTGGTGGGAGTAGATGCTTGTGGATGTCATGCCAATCAAGCGACCTGCTTTGTCTTGGATTGTGTCAAGCTTCCTGAGTGTTGTTGGGGCTGTACTCATCCAGGCACACGGGGAGTACTCCATCAGATTCCTGACTTGTGCCTTGTAGATGGTGAACAGGCATTGAGGAGTCAGCAGGTGAGTTACTAGCTGCAGTATTCCTAGCTTCTGACCTGCTCCTGTAGCCACTGTGTTTATGTGGTAAGTACAGTTGGGTTTTTGGTCAATGATAAGCTCCAGGATGTTGATAGTGGGGGTTCAGCGATGGTAACACCATTGAATGCCAAGGGGTGATAGTTACATTGGTGATGGTCATAGCCTGGCATTTGTGTGGCATGAATGTTACTTGCCACTTGTGAGCCCAAGCCTGGATATTGTCCAGATCTTGTTGCATTTGAACGTGGACTGCTTCAGTATCTGAGGAGTCGCGAATGGGGCTGAACATTGTGCAATCATTGTCGAACATCCCCACCTCTGACCTTATGGTGGAGGGAAGGTCATTGATGAAGCAGCTGAAGATGATTGGGTCGAGGACATTACACCGAGGAACTCCTGCAGAGGTGTCCTGGAGTTGAGATGACTGACCTTCAACAACCATGACCAGCTTCCTATGTGTTAAGTATGACTCCAAACACCAGAGAGTTTGCTGCTGATACTCATTGATTCCGGTTTTGCCAGGGCTCCTTGATGCCACACTCGGGCGAATGTTGCCAGGGTTGGAGGGTTTGAGCTATAGGGAGAGGCTAAATAGACTTGGGGCTATTTTCCCTGGAGTGTCAGAGGCTGAGGGGTGACCTTATAGAGGTTTATAAAATCATGCAGGGCATGGATAGGGTGAACAGCCAAGGTCTTTTCCCCAGGTTAGGGGAGTCCAAAACTAGAGGGCATAAGTTTAAGGTAAGAGGGGAAAGATATAAAAGGCACCTAATGGGGCAACCTTTTCATGCAAAGGGTGGTGCATCAATGGAATGAGCTGCCAGAAGAAGTGGTGGAGGCTGGTACAATTACAACATTTAAAAGGCATCTGGATGGGTGGATGAATAGGAAGGGTTTGGAGGGATATGGACCAAATGCTGGCAAATGGGACTAGATTAATTTAGGATAGCTGATCAGCACGTTTCCATGTTGTACATCTCTGTGACTCTATGACTCTAAGTACCTCAGAACACAACCAAACAAGTAGCATCAGCAAATAGATCGCTTATAATACAGAGGCAGAAAGCTAAGAAATGCTTGACCAACAAAGTATAGTTGCTCACAAATTATGTTATTGCTTTGTTAACACAGTAAATGATATAAGAAATCATTCAGTACTTAGGGGAATACATACTTTCCCCATGGTTCCTCTGGATTTGCAAATACTACCACATCAATCGGAAGAGTCAGCTTGAAGTGGATACATGGCATCTTATTGTGCTGGACAACAATCTTTTGGACGTGTTCAGGCCTAGTCATCTCAAACCGAATCTGTAGGTTTATGATTTTCTGAAAAGTTAAAAACAATTATGCTCTAATTACTGCTATTGTTGAGGGTTGTAAAGTTTGGAAGATTTGATGAGTGATAGATTGCAAGGCCATCAGGTAATGTGTGAAGGAATGTGCTGGTCGATAAATGGATTCCCAGGCTCAGAATGTTGTTGGTGTGTTCTCCCACCACTAGAGTAATCTCCTAACAGAAACATAGAAGATAGGATCAGGAGTGGGCTATTCAGCCCCTCAAGCCTACTCCACCATTCAATATGACCATGGATCATCATCAAGCTCAATACCCTAATCCTGCCATTCCCTCATATCCCTTGACCCTGTTAGCCACAAGAGCTATATCTACCTCCTTCTTGAAAGCATACAATGTTTTGGCCTCAACCACTTTCTGCGATAATGAATTCCACAGGCTTAACCCTCTCTGGGGAGAAATTTCTCCTCACCTCAACCCTACACAGTTTACCCCTTATCCTTAAACTATGATCCCTGGTACTGGAATCCCCCACTATCAGCAACATTATTACTGCATGTAACCTGTGTTGTTCTATTAGAATGTTCTAGGTTTCGATGAGATCCCCCCTCATTCTTCTAAATTCCAGTGAATACAATCTTAACCAACTCAATCTCTCCTCATGTGTCATTCCTGCCATCACGGGAATCAATTTGGTAAACCTACACTCCTCTATGGCAAGAACATCCTTCCTCAGGTAAGGAGACCAAAACTGCGCACAGTGTGCTAGATGTGGCCTCACCAATGCCCTGTATAATTGCAGTAAGTCATCCTCGTTACTCTCCTCGAATCCTTTTATTATACAGACCAACATACAGTTTGCCTTCTTCACTACGTGCTGCATCTGTGCACATACTTTCAGCAACTGGAGCACTAGGATACCCAAGTGTTATTGAATATTCTGCTTTCTCAATTTATAGCTGTTCAAATAATAATCTGCTTTCCTATTTTTGCTACCAAAGTGGATAACCTCACATTTATCCACATTATACTGCATCTGTCATGCATTTGCCCACTCACTCAGTCTGTCCAAATCACACCATAGGATCCTCTTCACAGCTCATCCTTCTACCCAGTTTTGTGTCATCTGCAAATTTAGTTCCCTCATCTAAATCATTAACATATGTTGTGAATAGCTGGGGTCCTAATACCGATCACTGTAGTGCCTCACTGGTCACTGCCTGCTGTTCAGAAAAAAACCCAATTTTTTCTGACTCTTTGATTCCTGTCTGCTAACCAGTCTTCTATCCATCGCAATATTCTATCCCCAATTCCATGCACTTTAATTTTACGCATTAATCTCTTATGTGGACTTTGCCTTCTGAAAGTCAAATAAATCACATCTACTGGCTCCTCTGATCAATTCTATTAGTTACATCCTCAAAGAATTCATTAGATTTGTCGAGCAAGATTTCGCGTTTGTAAATCCATGATGACTGTTTCCGAATATGAAACCCTCACCCTCCACCATCTCTTTTGCAATGCGCTAATCTGATATATCCTGCTGTTTCTACTCTCCCTAATGCGAGATACTGGAAGTAATCTTGACAGCACTATCTTTGAGATCCTACTTTTCAGCTTGCTTCCTAATTCCCTGTATTCTGTTTTTAAGGACCTCATCCTTTTTTTAATCTCTATCATTGATACCACTGTATATCACAACTTTTGGCTGTTCCCCTTGAAAATGTCATGTAGAGACTCTGAGGCATACTTGATCCTAGCACCAGGGAGACAACATACCATCCTGGAGCCTTGTTTGTGGCCTATTTATTCCCCTTACAATTGAATCTCCTATGGCTATTGCATTTCCATACATTTTGCTGCTCCACTGTGCAGCAGAGACAATTGTGGGGCCATGAATTTGACCATTGCTGTTTTCCCCTGACAGGCCATTCCCCTCAATTGTATCCAAATACTTTATCTGTTTTTCAGGGAAATGGCCACAGGGAATTCCCCCATTGTCTTTCTAGTCCTCTTTCTCTGCCTTGTGATCACTTGTAGTCTGCGATGTAATGAGATCTCTATGTGCGCTCTTCCTGATTATCTCAGGTTCGCAGATGCCCCACAGTGTCCCCAGCTGCTGGTCCAGCTCCAAAATCCAGGTTTCCAGGAACTGCAGCTGGAGACACTTCCTGTAGACATGCAGGTCCAGAAATTGGAAATGTACCCGGCTTCCCACAGAGTGCGGGAGAAGGATACAATGGCTTTGAGCTCTCCTGCCAGGACTTACCGCTTTAAATTAAACCTTTTGGAAGATGTTTAATATCAAATAATGCCAACTTCTCTCAGGCTTTTCATTCCTGTTACTTGTTACTACAGAACACAGCCCTTAGAAACGATAAACTACAAAATGACATTACAAACTATGAATATGACAAACTGCAAGCTGGATGTTAAGGTCTCCAACTTAATACATCAGGCAAGAGAACATACATCAATAGATTTCTACTCTTGAGTCCCTAGAACTTAATATTTGTGGTAATCTCAGTAGATGCTGAGAAGGATTACTGAAATTGTTTACTGAAATGTTTATGCCCTTGCAAAGGTAGAGGTGACCACAAGGGACTGTTTGTGGTCAGACTTTCAGGAGCTGTTGTATTTCTGTCCTTGCACTAAATAACTGCTCTTGGCATTGAAACTCAACAAAGTAATTACCAACGTGACCTTTTTTTTATTGGTACAAACAAAATGGTTGATATTGCATTACAAAGTAGGCCTTGCAGAGGGAAGAATAAAATCGAGACAGTGACAAAAATGAAAGAAAGAACAAAAATACATAAAACAGAATCTGAGTTGCAGAAAAGAAGTTCAATCAGCCTAAAAGTTACAATGTTGTTGTCACTTTTAAGAAGCCCTCTCCTACAACTCAGGATGCCCAAACACAGCCTAGTCCATCCAAGAGAAAAATGTGAGACCAATTTTAAACAAGTAATGAAGCCTGTGAAACCTCTAGTCAATCCAGTTTTTCTCTTTACAAAATGAAACTGACAATGAATCAGTGAAGTTGTGTGGCACACTTGGCTGCAATGTTGAAGGATTTTTCAACGGCAGTAGTACATCGCTCCTAGGATATGTTAGCTGCTGTTACATCAAATCGTTATAGATGTTCCTCATCAGAAGTATTTGCAAAAGCAAAAAATCCTTAACATCAGAAATAATGAAATCTTCCTTAAAATCAGAAATAATAAAATGTATATGCCTACCAGAGGTGCAACCTTTAAGAATTTCTTTTTGGAAGCCTTCTTTAGTAGCTCACTGACTTCAGCCCTGGAATAAAAAATGTAAACTGTGATAAGGCAGCACATAAATAAACTTGATTCATCATGTTCTATTGTCTGATACCAATATTGACTAGGATGAATTAAACAAAATGGTTTTCTTTATTTCTATCTGTGTAAAAACTACTGGAAATGATTTTAAAGATCCAGGTTTCTTTTACTCTCATCCATTCATACAGAATGAACATTCTCCCTGTGTCCACATGGGTTTCCTCCAGGGCTCAGGTTTCCTCCCACAGTCCAAGGATCTGCAGATTAGGTGGATTGGCCATGCTAAATTGCTCATAGTGTCCAGGGAGGTGCAGGCTAGGTGGATTAGCCATAGAAAATGCAGGGTTACAGGGATAGGGTAGGGGAGTGGATCTGGATGGGATGTTCTTCGGAGGGTCGGTGTGGATTTGATGGGCTGAATGACCTGCTTCTGCCCTGTAGGCATTCTATGATAATTAGGCACAGTATGGTAGAGCACCACACATCACCATGGTAATGAGATGGGATGTAGGTTGTGTGGGCAGTTTTCTCCATAAAGAGTCACAGAACCAGACTGGTACTGTAGGAGACTATTCAGCCCATCATGTCTGCATAGGCTTTCTGAGCATTCTTTCAACATAATTCCACTGACTTGTCTTTATGATCTAACAATGTATGCAGAAACCAAATTCACAAGATTTTTAGCAAGTTCTACAAAATTCTTGATTCATTATTAAATAATTTCAAACCAAATGGTTTAATCAGAACTTTAATCCTGAAACATAGCAATGGACACAGCAGTGATAGGTTGAAATTGTGTCTGTATTTGTCTGCCTTCCTATGTTACAACGTTGATTAATTTGCAGCACCTTAAAAAGTCTTAAAAATGCTTTGGGCCATCCTGAACTTGGGAAAGTTGCTAAAACAGCTGTTGACATTTCAAATAGATTGGTGTGCATTAATAATCTTTATGAAGAAAATGGAGTTAATACCATCAAATAGTTATCAAAATGCTGTAAGGCTATGACTTTGGCCATGAGCTATAGTGGCAATGGGGTCTTTTAAAAACATATTTGCATGCATTGCTTAGCCATCGAGGAGGAAATGAAAGGGTTCAATTTTTGCCATGCTTTGCTGCACGTCTCACATTTACACTAATCAAATTTGAACAAAAAAATCTAGTTCTAGTTTAACTTTACTCTTTAATTTTCAGAGCTCTACTGACCTTTATGATTATAGAGTCATAAAGACATAGAACATTACAACGTGGAAAATGGCTCTTTGGCCCCTTGTGTCCAAGCCATCAATCACCTGTTGAATTAGTCCATTGACTTGCATGCTGTTTGGTTTCAAGTGTTCATCTAAATAATTCTTAAATGTTGTGCTTTCAAGCAGTGAGTTTCAAATACCCATCACCCTTTAGGTGAAAAAAATTCTCATTGAATCTCTACTAAATTTCCTGTCCCTTACCTATCTATGCCCATTGGTAATTGACTCCACTACTAAGGGGCACAATGATCAGCACCATCTTTAACTCTTCAAATAATGTCGCAGTTCATGTTCAAGTGCAACAAGATCGGGCCAATATCCACATTCCTCATAATTTTGATGGTGTCAATCAGGTCCCCACTCAGCTTTTGCTGCCCCATGAAAAACAACCCCACTTTATGTGAAGAAGGGTAATTGGACTCAAAACATTAACTCTGCTTTCTCTCCGCAGATACTGCCAGACCTGCTGAGTTTCTCCAGCAAGTTTTTGTCCCAATCTATCTAGTCTATCTTCAGAGCTGAAATGCTCCAGCCTGGGCAACATCCTGGTGAATGCCCTTTACACCCTCTCCAGTGCAATCCTATCCTTTCAATAGTGTGATATGCATCTAGTTAACGCCGCAAAAAAATAGCCAGGCTGTTCCACAAAAGTTACAACAGTAGCATCTACCCAACAATGTGGAAAATTGCCCAGTTATGACCCGTAACCAAAAAGCAGGGCAAATCCAACCTGGCCAACTGGATTCATTCCGTGAGATATCAAGCAATGGTTGGAGGTGCTGGATACTGAAAAGGTAATGCACCCTGACAATATACCAGCAATAGTACTGAAAACCTTCAAAACTTGCCGCTCCACCAGCCAAGTTCATCCAGTACAGTTACAACACTAGCATTTACCCAACAATGTGAAAAATTGCCTAGGCATGTCCTGTTCTTGAGAAAGCAACCAACATAATCAAAGACCCCTCCCACCCTGGTTATACTCTCTTCTGCCCTCTTCCATCAGGCAGACAATATAAAAGTTTGAATACACGTACAAACAAATTCAAGAAAAGCTTCTTCCCTGCTGTTATTAGACTTTTGGATGGACCTCTCAAGTGTTAATTCAAAGCTCTCTCCCTCTCTCTCTGCACCTTCTCTGTGGATATAACACTGTATTCTGCACTCTGTTCTGCTATCCTGATTTACTTTGCATGGTATGATCTGCCTGTACAGCATGCAAAATAATACTTTTTCATTTAATCATGGTACATGTGACAACAACAAATCAAACTCAAATTCAAACTCAAATCCAACCTGGTCAATTACCACCCCATCAATCTACTCTTGATCATCAGTAATATGATGGAATATGTCATTAAAAGTGATATCAAACAGCACCTGCTCCGTGCTAACAAGGTGTAGAGTAGATGAAAACAGCAGGCCAAGCAGCATCAGAGGAGCAGGAAGGCTGACGTTTCGGGCCTAGACCCTTCTTCAGAAAAAAAAAACCTGAAATGTCAGCCTTCCTGCTCCTCTGATGCTGCTTGGCCTGCTGTGTTCATTCAGCTCTACACCTTGTTATCTCAGATTCTCCAGCATCTGCAGTTCCTACTATCCCTGCTCAGTGATGCCCAGTTTGGGTTCCACCAGGGCCACTGAGCTCCTGACCTCATTAAAGCCTTCATTCAAACATGGACAAAAAAGCTGAGTTCCCAAGGTGAGGTAAGAGCGGCTGCATTTGACATCAAAGCCACATTTGACTGAGTGTGGCATTAAGGAGCCCTGGAAAAACTGGAATCAATGGGAATCGGGGGCAAACTTTCTGCTGGTCGGAGTCATAAATGGCACTTAGGAAGATGGATGTGGTTGTTGGAGGTCAGACATCTCAGCTCCAAGGCATCTCTGCAGGAGTTCCTCAGGGAAGTGTCCTAGGCCCAACCATCTTCAGCTGCTTCATCAATGACCTTCCCTCCATCATAAGGTCAGAAGTGGGGATGTTTGCTGATGATTACACAATGATCAGCACCATCTTTGACTCTTCAAATAATGTAGCAGTTCATGTTCAACTGCAACGAGATCTGGCCAATATCCAAGCTTGGGCTGACAAGTGGAAAGTAATATCCACAGCACACAAATGCCAGGCAATGACCATCTCCGATAAGAGATAATTTAACAACTACCCTTTGACATTCAATAGTGTAGCCATCACTGAATACTCCACTGTTAACATCCTGGTTGTTATCATTGACCAGACCTCAACTGGTCTCACCCTATAACTACAGTGGCTGCAACAGCAGGTCAGACGCTGGGAGTATTGTGGTGACTAGCTTACCTCCTGTCTCCCCAAAGCCTGTCATCCATCTACAAGGTACAAGTTAGGTGTGTGATGGAATACTGCCCACATGCCTGGATGGGTACAGCTCCAACAACAGTTAAGAAGCTTGATGCCATTCAGGACAGAGCCCATTTGATTGGAACTACATCCACAAGCATCCACTCCCCCCACCACTGATGCTGAGTAGCAGCAGTGTGTACTGCCAGATGTGCTGCCAGAAATTTACTAAAGATCCGCATACAGCACCTTCCAAACCCACAACCACCTCCTTCTAGAAGGACAAGGGCAGCAGATACAAAACTTCAGCACCATGTAAGGTAGGTGCACTCTCTCACTGCTGCCTTTTCCTTAATTGTAGTGGAGGGCAGGTTATGCTAATGTTGGTGCATCTGAAAATATAATTCACACATTAACACAACTAATATAGTATTTATTTTTCAAGACAAAAAGTGACAAATTGCAAGCCAATATGTTATTTATGTCATTTACACTAGGTGGGGGCTGCCTGCTATGAGAACAATGTATATACAAAAACACTCAAACAATGTCCGAACTCAGCTCAGTCATCCTGGAAGAGGCTGACAATAAGATTTCCTCCTGCCACTCGGGCTGTCTGAAACATTGCTCAGTCTTACTCTTCTGGATGATCCTCTTGGTTAATAACCTGACTCTCAGCCTCATCTTCATCCTCAGAAAGTGTTCCTGTTCCCCACTTCATCAATGTCCATCCCCTTTCTTGGATCAAACTGTGAAGAGCGCAGCGTTCAACAATGATGTGGGACAACATGTGTGGGATACACTGGAGAGGTTCAGGCATTGAAACTTCATCTTCAGAAGACCTATTGTCTGCTCGAATATGGCCCTGGTGGCAATGTGAGCAGCATTGGACCATAGCTCCGTGTCCATCTATATATTGTCTAAAGATATCGTGAGCTGGGTTTCAAAGGGGTACGCTTCGTCACCCACCAGCCATGTCCTTACATGCTGAGGATCTTGGAAGGAAACAGGGGCATCTGAATGCTAAAATACCATATAGGTCATGGAATCTACCAAAATATCTTGGAGATCTCCAAAACGTGGCTTCCAAGCTCGCAAATTTGTTTTACATGAAGGGGGTGGAATCCCATCCTGTTCCCAAATCCTGTTGATTAATAATAGGGCACTGTCAAAGCAGTGTGGCTATCTAGCTGCTCTCAGCACAAATTCACCTGCCATGAATGTGCAAGTCTTAGCTGTCCCTCAACTCCAAATTACACGGCTGTGTTGGGACAAAACTAAACATGATGATGTTCTGAGGCTGATGCTTTGCTGATGCCAAATTGTGTGAATGAAGGATTGAGGGAGTACGTGACCATTGACAATGGAAGCACCTCATACATCAAAAGCTACAAAAAGAAGCTAGATGGCTAGCACAACAGTTCCAAAAGCTGCAAAGGGCGCGGACAAGACAACTAGTCAGGTTGTTGAGTGTTTGTGCTGTCATGTTTCTTGATTGTGGAGGAGAAAATTGGATGTGTAATGTTAATATGGCAGATTGGAATAGTAATGAGCTGCAAATGCATGGAAATAAGCTGCTTGCCACACAATGGAAAGGTTCACAACTCACTCCCCAGGAGGGATTTTCTTGACGAAGAGAATTTGAATTTTTAGACTCTTGCCCAATTAAGTCATTTTGCTTGCCATCTTTTTCTCCACCGCTGAGAGGAGAAAATTCTACCTTACCTTTCACAATCCAAATTTAAAAGGACAAAATCAAAACTTGATAGACAAAATGTTCAAGGGAAGCGCCACAATGAAAGTTTAACACATGTATCAAGGGCACCAAAGACATACACCAATCTAATACTGAAGTATATAATAGATTCCATTCTGCTACTTACATAACATATTTTAAGATGGCTTTGCATTGAGTATGCTCTCGCAGTCTTGAAGAATGAGTGCTAGTATGTATTTTGGGCCATATATACAGTGAGCTACCGAAACCGCTCAGACCAAAAGCCCGTGAATTTACTTTAGAAATCAACTTGTTAATAGCTTCTGTAAAACCTGCTTTAATTCCTTCATCTGCATGCAATGAAGAGAAAGGACACATTATATGTACAATCAATGCCAACACTAGAGCTAACAGCCTAAATCTTCCATTACATTTCTATCTATAATAAAAAATCATCCTTTTATAATTAAAGTCAAATTTAATTTTTTGAGAAATATATACATACGCCAAACTATGCTGTTGTAGCAAAACTTATCAAGCAAGCATCACACAAATGATCTTAACTGTATTCAAATATTCATTCTATAGATATCAATGTATGAAAAAATTTCAAAGTTTAGAGTTAAAAGATATCCCAGGAGGTGTGCATTCACACTGAGGTCTCAGGGAAGATCAGGGGCGAATGTTTCAATGCACCAATGTTCTTTATCTTCAAGAAGAGATATTTCTGCAGATGTCCCGTACACAATAACAAAGAAAACAAGAGTTGGACTGGACCTTTGAGCCTGCTTCACCATTCAATAAGATCAGGCTGACCATGGGCTTTCAATCCACTTTCCTGCTTACTCCCCGTATCTCTTCAATCCCTGAGAAACTGATAATTTATCTATCCAGGTCTTAATTCAACAATGGAGAGTCCACAATCCTCTGGGGCACAGAATTCCAAACATTCGTTTACCCTTTAAGAGATGTAATTTGTTGCTATCTCGTTCTATATGAACTATCTTACCCAAAGACTGGGGAACCAAGCGGAGGCTCGGGGACCGCTTTGCAGAACACCTATGCTCGGTTCGCAATAAACAACTGCACCTCCCAGTCGCGAACCATTTCAACTCCCCCTCCCATTCCTCAGACGACATGTCCATCCTGGGCCTCCTGCAGTGCCACAACGATGCCACCCGAAGGTTGCAGGAACAGCAACTCATATTCCGCTTGGGAACCCTGCAGCCCAATGGTATCAATGTGGATTTCACAAGTTTCAAAATCTCCCCTCCCCCTACCGCATCCCAAAACCAGTCCAGCTCGTCCCTGCCTCCCTAACCTGTTCTTCCTCCCACCTATCCCCTCCTCCCACCTCAAGCCACACCTCCATCTCCTACCGACCAACCTCATCCCGCCCCCTTGACCTGTCCGTCCTCCCTGGACTGACCTATCCCCTTCCTAACTCCCCACCTACACTCACCTTTACTGGCTCCATCCCCGCCTCTTCGACCTGTTTGTTTCCTCTCCACCTATCCTCTCCTGTATCCATTTTCTATCCGCCTCCCACTCTCTCCCTATTTATTTCAGAACCCCCTTCCCCTCCCCCTTTTCTGATGAAGGGTCTAGGCCCAAAACGTCAGCCTCTCTGCTCCTATGATGCTGCTTGGCCTGCTGTGTTCATCCAGCCCTGCACCTTGTTGTCTCGGATTCTCCAGCATCTGCAGTTCCTACTATCTCTGATTCAACTGTATCTTAGTGTTTTAGTTTCCTGACCAGCAGAAATAATCTTTCAATATCTACCCTACTAAGCAGCTTCAGAATTTTGAATGTTTCAATGACATTACCTCTCATTCTACTAAACTCCAGAGAATATAAAACAAAGAACTGCAGATGCTGGAGATCTGAAACAGAAAGAGAAATTGCTGGAGAAACTCAGCAGGTCTGGCAGCGTCTGTGGGAAGAAAGTAGAGTTAATATTTTGAATCTTGAAACTCTGCTTGCTTCTTACAGACGCTGTCAGACCTGTTCGGTTTCTGCAGTAATTTCTATTTTTGTTCTGAGAATATGATCCATTTTACTCAGCCTCTCATCATAGGATCATCCATTGGACTAATTTAGTGAATATTTACTGAAGTATCTCCAATGCAGGTATATATTTTCTACACTGCCCTTCACATCAGGTCTCACCAAAAACCTTGTTCAATTAGAACAAGACATCTTTATTTTCTGCACAGTAAGTCCAAAAAAAAAGCAGCACAGAGGGATCTGGATGTTTTTGTGAATGAAACTCAAAAGGTTGCAGCAAATAATTAAGAAATGAAATAGAATTTTTGGCCTTTATTACTAGTGGTTCGGAGTTTACAAAAAGAGAAATCTTGTAATAATTGTATATGGTGTTGGTGCGACTGTGCCTGGAGTACTGTGTACAGCTTTGATTCCCAAATTTGTAAAAGGATATACTGGCATTGGAGGTTGTTCAAAACAGAGTCACTAGGCTGATACTAAGATAAAGAGGCTGATCTATCAAGAATGGCTAAGCAGGTTAGGCCTTTACTCATTAGAGTTGAGAAGAATGAAGGATGATTTTATTAAAACATACAAAATTCTGAGGGGGTTTGACAAAGTAGATGTTGACAAGATATTTCTGCTTGTGGGAGAGACTCAAACTAGAGCACATAGTTACAGAATAAGGGGACACTCATTTAAAAATGAGAGGAGAAGAAACTTCTTCGTCCAGAGGGTAGTGAATGCCTGGAATTCTCTACCCCAAGACTTGTGAAGACTAGATCACTGCAAGTATTTAAAGAATCATAAAGTCATACAGCACGGAAACAGACCCTTCGGTCCAATTTGTCCATGCTGACTAAGTTTCCCAAACTAAACCAGTCCCACTTGCTTGCATATGGCCCATATCCCTCCAAATCTTTCATATTCATGTACTTATTAAAATGTCTTTTAAATGTTGTTACTGTATCTGCATCTATCATTTCCTCTGGTGGTTCATTCCCAGCTGTACCTATGTACCCTGTACCTAAGATAGCGCTGAGAGGCGACATTACAAACTTTTCACTGCACTCATTCAAGTGCACGTGTCAATAAAGGCTATTCTATTCTGTTCTATGTGAAAAGGTTGCTCCTAAGGTACCTTTCAAATCTTTCTCTTCTCACCTTAAAAATATACCCCCTAGTTTTGAACTACCCCACCCTAGGGATAAGACCTTTGCTATTCACATTATCTATGGCCCTAATGATTTTATAAACCCCTATAAGGTCACCTCCAACCTCCTCCGGACCGTTAAAAAAAGTCCCATCTATTTTTATTACTCAAACCGTTCGCTCCCAGCAACATCCTGGTAAATCTTTCCTGAACCCTCTCCAGTTTGATAATATTCTTCCTAGAGCAGGGCGACCAAATTATGCATAGTACTCCAAAAGTGGCCTTACCAACGTCCTGCACAACCTCAACATGACGTTTCAACTTCTAAGCTCAAAGATCTGAGCAATGAAAGCAAGCGTGTTAAATACCTTCTTAACCACCCTGTCTACCTGTGATGCAACCTTCAAAGAACTACGCATTTGAAACTTGAGGTCTCTCTGTTCGTCAACACTACCCAGGGCCCTACCATTAACTGTATAAGTCCTATCCTTATTTGTTGTACCAAAATGCATCACCTCATATTTATCCAAGTTAAATGCTATCTGGCACTCCTCAGCCCATTGGCCCAATTGTTCAAGTTCCCTTTGTAATCTTAGATAACCTTCTTCACTGTCGACTATATCACCAATTTTGGTGTCATCCACAAATTTATTAACCATGCCTCCTAAATTCTCATCCAAATCATTTACATAAATTACAAATAAAAGAGGAAGCATCAATCCCTGTGGAATACAGCTGGTCACAGGCCTCCAGTCCAAAAAAACAACCCTTCACCACCATCCTCTGATTCTTCCATTAAGCCAATTTTGCATTGAATTAGCAAGGTCTCCCTGAATCCCGGGTGATCTAACTTTAGTCATCAGTCTACCATGTGGAACTTTGTCAAAGGCTTTACTAAAGTCCATATAGACAACATCTACCACTCTGCCCATTATCAATCTTTTTGGTTACGTCCTCAAAAACTCAGTCAAGCTTTTGAGACATGATTTTCCATGCACAAAGCTGACAATCCCTAATCAGTCCGTGCTTCTCCAAATGCAAGTAAATCCTGTCTCTCAGAATTCCCTCCAACAACTTTACCCACCACTGATGTCACAGGTCTATAGCTCCCAGACTCCTCCTTATAGCCTTTCTTCAATAAAGGGACAACACTAGCCATCTTTCAGTCCTCCAGCACCTCATCTGTGGCTGTAGATGATACAAATATCCCTGTTTGGGGCCCTGCAATCTCTCCCTAACTTCTCACAATGTCGTCAGATACATTTGATCAGGTCCCAGAGATTTATCCACCTTTATGTTTTTTAAGACCTTTAGCACTTCCTCTTCTGTAATGTGGACTGTTTTCAAGACATCAACATTTATTTTCCCGAGCTCTCTAGCCTCCATTTCTTTCTCCACAGTAAAAACTGACATTTTAGGGTCTGTCCCATCTCTTCTGGTTCCACACATAGATGACCTCAGAGGAGGTTGTTAGATTTGTGAAATATCAGGGAGTTGAAGGCTATGCTGAGCTGGCTCCAAAGAGGAGTTGAGGCCTGGAGCAGATCAGCCATGATCTTGTTGAATAATGGTACAGGCTTGAGGGGCTGAATGGCCTACTCCTGCTCCTATTTCTTATGTCCTTATGTACTCCAATCACCTTACAAAGAGCACATGCTGCGCGCCTTCCAAATTGCTTGGTTTACTTTCATATTAACTTTCCGTGTTGATCACACAAACACACTTAAGTCTCTTAGAACATTGACATACGCAAGTTTCACATCTTTTAAAAATATTCAGTCTTTCTATTCTTTTAACCACAGTGAATAACTTTGTACTTACCTTTACTATGATCCAGCTGCCATCTTGTTGCCCACACACACTCAACCTGCAATATATTTTTGTGTCTTCCCCACAGCTTACCTTTTCAACGAGCTTTGTGATCTCAAAAAAGTCAGATACATTACTCTGAATTTCTTCATCTAAGTCAATTCTAAAAAAAAATTGTTCAGGCTATGTGGGTCAGCACATATTTTTCATCTATACTTGCCCTTGATCTTAGTGGCTTGCTTTAGAAGGAACTTAAAAGTCAACCACATTGCTATGGGTCTGAGATCACATTTAGGGCATGTCAGGTAAGGAGAACAGATTCCCTTCCCTAAAAGGACATCTGTGAACCATGTGAATTCTTATGACAACTGGCAATCATTCGACCAGCTTTCACTTGTAATTTTTAAAATATATATGTATATATATTGGAATCTCCTTGTGGGAATCTATTGGTACATTGTCTGGCTTTGAAACTCTATTTGCTACCTAGCAATGCTGATCTGGTTGGATTTTCACCTGGGGGGGTGGAGCCAGGTACAGGCTGGGGTCATCTTTTGCCAGAGGCAGGCTGATTCTGGGACTGCCCAGTGAAAAGGCCTACCTCCTCTTGTAGCAATATTGGCCCACTTCTAGAGACCAGTGTCAGTCATGCCCCACCCTCATGATTCGCACCCTGCTTCCCCCATCTCAAACACCCTTATCCTTAATCCTTGTAATACCACAAACTTACTCACTCAGTATCCACTATAGTTAGAAGTTATAGAAATAAAGTTCAAAAATAGCATTTGAAAGTCTTTGAAACATTTGTTAAATCTGTCACAGCAAGCAAACATTGCTTGAATAGTCATTAAAAGACCACTATACTCCAAAATATCAATCAGTCACACATGACAAAATACATTTTTTTATATCTGATTGTACATTATAAGCCAGCAAAAAACTGTGTAAATTGTAATATTCTGGGAAATTGGTGCTTGTTATTGGTGCTTATGTCTGTTATTTCCTCATAAAAAGAGCTGGTCTTGTGAGGTTTTCCATAGAACTGTCACTCAGAACAGTTGAAGGGTTACTGAACAGTCAGTTATCAGAGACGGACAGAAACAGGAACAGGAGAAAGGGCTCTGTGCAGGAAAAATGCTGCTGTTAGCTGTGCTGTTGAGAAAGCAGATGAAGATCACTGGTGCTGTGTAGTTGTGACTCAAGAAGAAACTCCAGAAGCTATTTGGTAACTTCATGCAATGAGGGCTTAGTCTGGAAATTGGTTCAGAGATAGGGACATTACCACTACAACAGCAGAGTCCTCATGTCCATTGCTACTGCAGCGAGTTTCATGTCCTTCAGGTGACCTGTCATGGTGAGGCAGGTCTATTCATTATCATATTTTGAATAAAACTCCTATAATGCAAATTGGAGCCTGGTATCAATTTAACTGTTGAAGGCTTGGCTTCCCAGAGCTCAGTAGCAAAGCGGAGGTGGGAGCTTTAAGAGTTTTTTTTAAATAGAATTTCTTGTGGATCAGGATGAACAGTTTGACTTTTGCCTGCTAGCCTCTCCAGAGAGTTTTCAGCACCCCCTTGATTATTAAACCCTCTGCCTACTTCTTGTTGATGGTACATTTGTGTCTTTGTTAGTGTTTGCCTTGCCAGTTGGTTTCCCCCAGGTTCCCCCGTGTGGCCCCTGTAAATGTTAGGGACATTATTTCTATCTGTTTGGTAAGTAATGCACCATTAACTAACCACTAACTAAGCACTGTTTCTACCATTGTGTCCTTGTGTAAATGGGTTTGATGATCATTGCTCCTGTTCAATTTCTAAACTGTTCTGATTTTGCTGGAAGAATATTCCTGATTTTTCTGGGCTTTCTAAAGTAGATCTTGAATAGTCAGGAGTCTTTTATAATGATGCACTGGCCTGCATATTGGCGCAAATCAGGCAAAAATGATGAAATGAGAAGTCAGAGATAGTAAGAACTGCAGATGCTGGAGTCAGCGATAACACAGTGTGGGGCTGGAGGCACACAGCAGGTCAGGCAGCAGAGGAAAGTTGACGTTTCGGGTTGGGACCCTTCTTCAACTTTCCTGCTCCTCTGATGCTTCCTGGTCTGCTGTGTTCCTCCAGCTCCACACTGCGTTATCTATGAAATGAGAAGTGACCAGTTTATGTGAGAATATATAAGGATGAGGATTGGTCATGAAATGGAGCAAATTGAAGTACCTGCCTCAGGCTGGTGGACTAAGCAATTTCAATGAGCTGTTTTCTTTGGGACATTAATGTATGTGCTGTCTTCCTGCTTATTGTAATTAATATCTAAAATAAAAGAGACTTAACCATTGATACTAGAGTTGAAATCCAATGATAATTTCAGATCAAGGGGATGTCTTACAGATCTCATGTGCACTGCTCCACCCTCAATAGCAGAGCCATCAATAGCCAAGGTGAAAAGTGTTAAAAGAGCTCTGAAGAAGGGTCCTAACCTATATTGTGATCTAGTCTCTCTAGAGCAAACTGCTGATTGATACGATATGTGTTTTCAGCATTTTCTGTTGAAGAGTTCATTGTGTTGTTTGCAGCAAACCTAGGTGAGTTGAAATACTTTAGCAATGAGCTTAATGGATCAAATGGGTATTTCTTGTCTTTGTCTCTTTCTTATGCTTTTGTGAACTAGGAGGTTGATGAATTCCCAAGCTGACCTGACCTTTCTCCAATGGCACTGATCCAGAGCTTTGTCAATAAAACATTCAGGACAATAGGGCAATTAGGTGCAACTAAAACTATTTGAGGGGTCTTGTGACTCAGTGATAGTCAGAAAAGGTCTGGGTTCATCAACAAAAACAGAATTTGCTGGAGAAACTCAGCAGGCCTGGCAGCATCTGTGGAGAGAAAACAGATTAACGTTTCGCATCCAGCGACCCTTCTTCAGAATTGATTGCAGCCAGGCAAAGCTTGATATATATGATGAAGGTGGGATGGAGGGAGGGGTGAGGGGTAAACAATGGATGGAGATGGAGCCCAGAGAGAGAGAGAAAAGTGGGTTGTGCAGGGTTAGGGTCTATGAGTTTGGAGGCAGTGGAGGGTGGGGAGATCAACACATAAAATGAGATTAGTGACCCTTGTGAATACAATAGCCTGGTGTTCAATGGTCGGGTCATGGTCTGGGGGAGATAGGAGGATGTATCTGAGAGCTAGCGCTCAGCATCGGCAATGTAGAGGTCAGTACGCTAAATAACCATAGCACCACCTTTGTCGGCAAGCTCGATTACAAAGTCAGGATTGGATCAGAGAGCATAGAGTGCAGTCAGTTCAGAGGGAGATAGGTTGGAATGGGTAAGGGGGCGCAGAAACGTGATGAACAATGTCACATTGGCAGTTCTTGATAAACAAGTCGAGTGCAGGTAAAAGGCCAGAGGAAGGGGTCCAGGTGGAGGGAGTGTTGGAGGCGGGTGAAGGGATCTGTGGGATGGGGAGAGGATTCTTATCCGAAGATATGGGCACGGAAGCGAAGATGATGGAAGTAGAGTTCAATATCATGTCATGCCTGAAATTCATTAAGGTGGGAACACAGAGGGATAAAACTGAGACCTTTGCTGAGGACAGAACATTTAGCATCAAAGAAAGGGAGGTCAGGAGGGATGGTAAATACACAACAGGAGGTTGGGTTAGGAGAGGGAATGGGGGAAGGGGAGGAGAGGGAATGGGGGAAGGGGAGGAGAGGAAAGTTCCATGGGGGTGCGTGTTCAAGTTTCATCTGCTCTATTTGTGTCATAATTTGTCCATTCAGGTTAATTAAAAATGAAAGGAAACTATTTGCAAATAATAGTAGTAGAATTTTCATATGATTATCATTGAACAATGAGATTGCTGATATGTCTCTCAGTTAGAAAGGACACATGTTACAAATGACATTTCACAAAGGGCAACTATTTTTTAACACACAATATGTGAGCTAAATGCATTGAAACATAGCTAACCTAAAGACATAGGATTTCCCCAGAACATCAAAAAGGCTAAGGTAAAATAGTAAACTTCTCTTACAGCGCTTTAACACACAAGACATTATTACTTAAGCAGTAATATTGATTCTAATTATTAATTGATAGATAAAATGTTGGTAATGTTGGTCAACATAAATATCAAAAATGTATCCCAGAAATAATTTACTCACCATCTGTTTTGTTAATGACTCCTTCCAACTGAATTCCCCCTTTTATTCGAAACAACAAATCCTCAGCGTCAAGTGGCAACTGAAACAAATTGATTGAAATAAAGTAATCTATCTTTCTAAGTAATCTATTATAACTGCTGTGCATCTTGCTCTGTTTTCTCCCCATTCATTCTTGAGATGTGACATCTATTGTCTATCCCTTTTTTTTATTCTTTGGTGGGAACTGAGTATCAATCATAGAACCAACATTTTTACCCATTCCTAATTTCCTCGTGAAGGTGATGGTGAATGGCTTTCTTGAACAGTTGCTGTTCATCTGGTGCAGGTACACCCACAGGACTACCAAGAAGGATGTTCTGTGATGTTGATGCCACAACACTGAAGTATTGATGATGTTATTCCAAATCAGGATGGTGTGTGGCTTGGAGGGGAACTGGCATTTGCTGGTGTTGTCCCATAAACCCACTGCCCCGATCCTTCTAGGTGGTACAGGTCACAGAATTGGAATGTGCTTTTGACCGAGTGTTGGTGGATCACTGCAATGCATCTCATATTTAGAATGCATCTCATATTTACAAACCTGGCTGCCCTGGTTGACCCATTGTCTCCACCTGCTCCTGCCCCACCGAATTTATCTCCACTTATCTCGACTCCATTTTCTCCCTCTTGGTCCAGGAACTCCCCACCTACATCCGTGACACCACCCACGCCCTCCACCTCCTCCAAAACTTCCGATTCCCTGGTCCCCAACACCTCATCTTTACCATGGACGTCCAGTCCCTATACACTTGCATTCCCCATGCAGATGGCCTAAAGGCCCTCCGCTTCTTCCTGTCCCATAGGCCCAACAAGTCCCCCTCCACTGACACCCTCATCCGCTTAGCTGAACTCGTCCTCACCCTTAACAACTTCTCCTTCAATTCCTCCCACTTCCTACAGACAAAGGGGGTGGCCATGGGTACCCGCATAGGCCCAAGCTGTGCCTGCCTCTTTGTAGGATACGTGGAACTTCTTCTGAAGCTACACTGGCCCTATCCCCCACCTCTTCCTCCGTTATATTGATGACTGTATCGGCGCCGCCTCGTGCTCCCACGAGGAGCTCAAACAGTTCATCCACTTCACTAACACCTTCCACCCCAACCTTAAGTTCACCTGGACCATCTCTGACACCTCTCTCTCCTTCCTGAGCCTCTCTGTTTCCATCTCTGGCAACCACCTGGAAACCGATATCCATTTCAAGCCTACCGACTCCGACAGCTACCTAGAATAAACCTCCTCTCACCCACCTTCCTGCAAAAATGCCATCCCCTATTCCCAATTCCTTCACCTCTGCCGCATCTGCTCCCAAGATGAGGCATTCCACTCCCGGACATCTCAGATGTCCTCGTTTTTCAAAGACCACAACTTCCCCTCCACAGTGGTCGAAAACGCCCTCAACCATGTCTCTCGCATTTCCCGCAACTTATCCCTCACACCCCCTCCCCGCAATAACAACCAAAACAGAATCCCCCCCCCCCCGCCCTCACGTACCACCCCACCAACCTCCGGATCCAATGCATCATCCTCCGGCACTTCCGCCATCTGCAATCTGACCCAACTACCAAAGGTATTTTTCCCTCCCCACCCTTATCTGCTTTCCGGAGGGACCACTCTCTCCGTGACTCCCTTGTCCACTCCACACTCCCCACCAGCCCCACCACCCCCGGCACTTTCCCTGCAACCGCAGTAGTGCTACACCTGCCCCTACACCTCCCCCCTCACCCCTATCCCAGGCCCCAAGAAGCGGAGGGGCTTTAGGCCATCTGCATGGGGAATGCAAGTGTATAGGGACTGGACATCCATGGTAAAGATGAGGTGTTCACCTGCATATCTGCTAATGTGATATACTGCATCCGCTGTTCCCGATGTGGCCTCCTCTATGTCGGGGAAACCAAGCGGAGGCTTGGGGACCGCTTTGTGGAACACCTACGCTCAGTTCGTGACAAACAACTGCACCTCCCAGTCGCGAACCATTTCAACTCCCCCTCCCACTCCTTAGATGACATGTCCATCCTGGGCCTCCTGCAGTGCCACAGCGATGCCACCCAAAGGTTGCAGGAACAGCATCTCATATTTCACTTGGGAAGCCTGCAGCCCAATGGTATCAATGTGGACTTCACAACCTTCAAAATCTCCCCTCCCCCTACCGCATCCCAAAACCAGCCCAGCTCGTCCCCGCCTCCCTAACCTGTCCTTCCTCCCACCTATCCTCTCCTCCCACCTCAAGTCCCACCCCCATCTCCTACCTACCAGCCTCATCCTGCCCCCTTGACCTGTCCGTCCTCCCTGGACTGACCTACCCCCTCCCTAACTCCCCACCTACACTCACCTTTACTGGCTCCACCCCCGCTTCTTTGACCTGTCTGTCTCCTCTCCACCTCTCTGCTCCTATATTCTTCCATCCGCCTCCCCCTTTCTCCCTATTTATTTCAGAATCCCCTTCCCCTCCCCCATTTCTGAAGAAGGGTCTAGACCCGAAACATCAGCTTTCCTGCTCCTGTGATGCTGCTTGGCCTGCAGCATTCATCCAGCTCTACACCTTGTTATCTCATATTTAGAATTCACTGCTTCCATTGTGCGTTGAAGGAGGGAATGTTTAACTTGGTGCATGGATACTGGTTGAGCAGTTTTCTTGGTCTTGGATAGTGTTGATCTTCTTGAGTGTTGCTCAATTCACATTCACACAAGCAAGTGGCGAGTATTGCATCACACTCCTGACTTGTAGCTTGTAGATGGTAGATAGGCTCTGGGGAGTTAGGAGGTGAGTTATTTACTACAGAAATCCCAGCCTCTGAACTTGAAGCCACAGTATGGCTGATCTAGATCAGTTTCTGTTTTTCAATGATAACCCTTAGGATATTGATAACGAACATTTAAGAATGATAATTCCGTTGACAGCGGAGGAAGATAGAAGATGTATCATTGTCTGACACTTTTGTGGTGCAGATGTTATTTCCACTTTCCAGCCCATGTCTGAATGTTGTCCAGGTCTTTCAGCATGTGGATATAAACTGCTTCAGTTTCTGAGCAGTTGTGAATGATGCTGAGCAATATGCAATCTTCAGGGAACATTCTCACTTAACTTCTTAATGCCACATTTGTCAAATGCTGCCTTAATATCAAGGGCAGTCATCTCAGCTCACCTATGGAATTCCGCTCCCTTGTACAAGTTTGGACCAAGGCTGTAATGAGATCTGAAGCCAAGTGGAACAAAAGCAGAAGTTGCTGGTAAAGCTCAGCAGGTCTGGCAGCATCTGTGAAGAAACTATCAGAGTTAACGTTTCGAGTCCGGAAATATTAACTTTGATTTTTTTCTTCACTGACACTGCCAGACCTGCTGAGCTTTTCCAGCAACTTCTGTTTTTATTCCTGATTTACAGCATCCGCAGTTCTTTTGGATTTCATTCAGAAGCCAAGTGGCCCTGGTGAAACCAGAACTGAATATTGGTAGCAGGTTATTGCTGTGTAACTGCCACTTGATAGCACTGTCAATGACATCTTCCAACATTTTCATCACTTCCCTGATGATTGAGATTGGGGGGGAAGTGGTGGCATGATGGGACAGTAACTGGCTGGTTTGCATTTGTCCTGCTTTTTGAAGACAGGACCTGCTTGGGCAATGTTCCACATTATTTGGTTGATGCCAGAATTGCATCTGTACTAGACCATCATGGCATGGGTAACACTTAGTTTTGGAACACAGGTCTTCAATACCAGTGCTGGAAGGTTGACAGTGTCCAAATTCTTTGCAGCTTCCAATACCTTTAGCAGTTTCTTGATATCATGGGAGTGAACTGAACTGAAGACTGGCATCCAAGATGCCAGTGACCTCTGAGAATGCCAAGATAGATCATCCACTCGGAACCTCTAGTTAAAATTGAATGCAAGTAGTCTTTTGTCTTTTGCTCAGATATGCTCGGTTCCTGGTCAGTGAGGTTCAGCAACCCTACATTAAAAGACTGCATGCACAGTTCTTTGAGATGGGCTACACCCCATAATGAAAGTCTTGCTGAGAACTCTTGCTGCAATATCAACATTTTCTGCTTTATGCAAGGCCCTAGATCAGTTCAAAGCCAATGTGAATAACAACTGGTGGTCAAACAGTTCCTGCCATAGAAGTCTATGTAAAGAGGACCTTTTCAAAATTTGTGACTTGATTTGGCCCATGGGCAGAGGAGGTACTAAAAAGAAACATTGGAACTACATCTGATGAAAACGCAGTGTCCCTTTTAAAATTTTTTCCTCTCACCTTAAAATTATGGCTGTTAGTTTTAATGCCCCACTGCAAGGAGATGCCCTTGTTATTCACCTTATCTATGCTGTGCATGATTTTATAAAACTCTATAAAGTCACCACTCAACCTCCTACGCTCAGTGAAGAAAATCCCAGCCTATCCAGCTTTTCCTTATATCTCAAACCCTCCAGTCCAGGCAATAATCTGGTAAATCTAAAGCAAAAATAGAAGTTGCTGGAAAAGCTCAGCAGGTCTGGCAGCATCTGCAGTGAGAAATCAGAGTTAACGTTTTGGGTCCAGTTACCCTTCCTCAGAACTGATAGTAACTAGGAAAATGTTGGTTTACATGCAGAAGACAGGGTGAGAGGAGGGGGTAAGACTAAATGATAGGTAGAGGTAGAGCCCCAGCAGAGAGAAGAACAGTTGGACAGACAAAGGATTGGATATCAATCTAGTTAGTAGAGTGAACAGCTGTTAAAGGAGACTGTTAGTGACTATCAATAGGTAGTGTATAATGTCAGACTATATGATAACAAGACTTGGTGTGTGGGGTTGGGAGTTAGGACATGAGAGAGTTCAGGCCCTAAAATTTATAGAACTTGATATTGAGTCTGGAGGGCTGTAGAGTTTCCAAGTGGAAAATGAGATGTCGTTCTTCCAGCTTTCACTGTGTTTCGCTGGAACACTGCAGCAAACCTGAGGCAGGGAACAGGGTGGTATGTTAAAGTGGCAGGGAACTAGAAGTTCAGGGTCTTTTTTGTGAGCAGAAGGTAGATGTTCTGTGAAGCGGTCACCCAGTATACACTTTGTTTTTCCAATTTAAAGGAAACCACATTGTGAGCAGCGAATGCAGTCAACTGGATTGTGTGAACTGCAGGTAAAGTGCTACTTCACCTGGAAGGTATGTTTAGGCCCTTGGACACTGGGGATGGAGGCGGTAAATGGGGAGGTATTACACCTTCTGTGGTTGCAGGAGAAGGTGTCATGGGGCTGTGGGGAGGGGGGAGTGGTGTTGGGAGTCGACAAAGAGTCGACCAGGGTGTCTCGGATGGAATGGTCCCTGTGGAAGGTGGACAAGGGAGGGGAGGCGAATATGTGTCTGGTGGTGGCATCTTGCTGGAGGTGGCAGAAATGGGAGCTGATGCTCTTCTGGGTGTAGACGCGGGTGGGATGATAGGTAAGGACAAGGGGAACCCTATCACTGTTGTGGGATGGAAGAGAGGGGGTGGGGACAGAAGTGCAGAAGATGGTCAGACCTGGTTGTGGGCCCTGCCAACAACAGTGCTGGGGAATCCTTGGTTGAGAAAGTTGAACATTTTGGAGGCTCCATTGTCAAAGTTGGCCTCATCAGAACATATGCGATGGAGATGGAGGAACTGGGAGAATGGGATGGAGTTTTTACAGGAAGCAGCGTGCGAGAATATGTAGTCCAGGTAGCTGTGGGAGTCAGTGGGTTTAAAGTGGATATTAGTGGCCAGTCTATCCCCAGAAATGGCAACAAAGATGCCGAAGAAGAGAAGGGAGGAGTCAGACATAGACCAGGTGAAAGTGAAACAGGGTGGAAACTGGAAACGAAATTGATGAAGATTTCCAATTCCTGATGGGAAGGAAGCAGCACCAGTGATATCATCAATATACCAGAGGAAGAATTGTGGGTGGGGGCTGGAATAAGACTGGAACAAGGAATGTTCCATGTACGCCATGAAGAGACAGTCATAACTGGGGCCCATGCGGGTACCCATGGCAACCCCTCTGACCTGAAGAAAATGAGACAAGTTAAAACAGAAGTTGTTCAGGGTGAGGATGAGTTTGGCCAAACGGAGGAGGGTGGTGGGGTGGGGACGGTTCAGGCCCTTTTGTTCCAGCAAGAAGTGGAGAGCCCTGAGACCATCCTGGTGGGGAATGGACGTGTAAAGGGATTGCACATTCATGGTAAGGAGGAGGCGGCTGGACCCTGCAAACTGGAGATACCGAAACTGATGCAAAGCATCAGAGGAATCACGGATGTAAGTGGGCGGGCACTGGAGCAGGGGAGAAAAGACCGAGTCAGGGTAGGAAGAGATGAGTTCTGTGTGGCAGGAGCAGGCAGAAACAATGGGTCTGCTTGTGGATTTTGGGAAGGAGGTAGAGGTGAGGTGTGCAGGGCTGGGGGCTCTATCAGCTTGGAGGCAGTGGCAGGGGGCAGATCACCAGACGAAATGAGATCAGTGACCGTAGTTGATACAGTGGCCTGATGTCCCATGGTGGGGTCATGGTCTGGGGAAGATAGGAGGAGGTATCTGAAAGCTGGCCACTCTGCCTCTGCAATGTAGTGGTCATTACACCAGACTACAACAGCATCACCCTTATCGGGAGGCTTAATAACAAAGTCAGGGTTGGATCTAAGCACACGATGTGCAGTCAGTTCGGAGGGAGACAGGTTGGATTGGGTGAGGCAGGCAGAAAAATTGAGGTGACCAAGATCATGTCAACAGTCCTCAATGAGCAGCATCCGTAGTTCTTTTGGGTTTTAATCTGGCAAATCTTTTCTTCACCCTCTCCAATTTAATGATATTCTTCCTATACCAGGGTGACAAGAACTGTACACAATACTCCAAAAGTGGCCTCAGCAACGTGCTGTACTACTGCAATATGACATCCCAACTCCTATACTCAAAGGTCTGAGCAATGGAAGCAAACATGCCAAATGCCTTCTCTACCACTCTGTATATCTGTGACACAACTTGCAATGAACTATGTACCTGAGCCCCTAGTTCTCTATTTTCTACACGGTGGGTGCTATGTATGTAGAATGAACTGCCAGAGGAAGTGGTAGATGCAGGTACAGTTACAATTTAAAAGATATTTGGACATGAATAGGAAGGGTTTAGAGGGATATGGGCCAAATGCCAATATATGGGAATAGTTTAGTTTGGGAAATTTGTTCGGCATGGATGAGTTGGACCAAAAGGTCTGTTTTCAGGCTGTATGACTCTAAGACTTGAAGCATTAACTATTTTTCTCTGCAAAAATGTTACCTGGCTTGCTGAGTGTTTCTATCATTTCCTGTTTTATTTCAGATTTACAGCAGCTCCAGGAGTTTGCTTTTGTGACAGAGTAAGCTTTCTCTGTTATAATTCATTGACATCATCATTTAATTAAAGTTTGCTAAAAGAAAATGCATCCTGAATTGTAATGAATGTGAAATTCACTTCTGGGAGCAAGAGTAGTGTAGCCTAGCAATGAGTAAAGGACCCCAAAACCACAACATCTATTTCAGAATTGGTGTCAGATTTTCTGTTTGGCACGAGTGATTATGGGCTTGTAAACCCAAACCTGTCCATGCCCTTACTCTGCCACATCAGCCATCAAGTGGGTTATGTGAAAGGAATGACTTGAGGATTTGACTTCACAATGCTAAATGGGTGAGTTGTATTTTTTCCCAAATGGATAAGAAAACAGTAAGAGCGTCTTCCTTGGTTATATTACCATTGTTGTCATTAATCATTTTTGTATCATCTCGAGGGTTAACATATGAGACTATATTATATAAACTAGGTTTTTATTCCATTGTGTATAGAAAATTAAGCAGTGCACTGATTAATGTGTTTAACATGATTAGAGGACTTTTCTTCTCTCTGCATCTAATAGAACATAGAACATAGAACATTACAGCGCAGTACAGGCCCTTCAGCCCTCGATGTTGCGCCGACCTGTGAAACCAATCTGAAGCCCATTGAACCTAAACTATTCCATTATCATCCATATGTTTATCCAATGACCATTTAAATGCCCTTAAAGTGGGCGAGTCTACTATTTTTGCAGGCAGGGCATTCCACGCCCTTACTACTCTCTGAGTAAAGAACCTACCTCTGACATCTGTCCTATATCTATCACCCCTCAATTTAAAGCTATGTCCCCTCGTGCTAGCCATCACCATCCGAGGAAAAAGGCTCCCACTGTCCACCCTATCTAATCCTCTGATCATCTTGTATGTCTCTATCAAGTCACCTCTTAACCTTCTTCTCTCTAATGAAAACAGCCTCAAAACCCTCAGCCTTTCCTCATAAGACCTTCCCTCCATACCAGGCAACATCCTGGTAAATCTCCTCTGCACCCTTTCCAATGCTTCCACATCCTTCCTATAATGCGGTGACCAGAACAGTACGCAATACTCCAAGTGCGGCCGCACCAGAGTTTTGTACAGCTGCAACATGACCTCATGGCTCCGAAACTCAATCCCTCTACCAATAAAACCTAACATACTGTACGCCTTCTTAACAACGCTATCAACCTGGGTGGCAACTTTCAGGGATCTATGCACATGGACACCGAGATCTTTCTGCTCATCCACACTACCAAGAATCTTACCATTAGCCCAGTACTCTGTATTCCTGTTACTCCTTCCAAAGTGAATCACCTCACACTTTTCCGCATTAAACTCCATTTGCCACCTCTCAGCCCAGCTCTGCAGCTTATCTATGTCCCTCTGTAACCTACAACATCCTACCGCACTATCCACAACTCCACCGACTTTAGTGTCATCCGCAAATTTACTAACCCATCCTTCTACGCCCTCATCCAGGTCATTTATAAAAAT